ATGATCGGTGTGATCATAACGTACAATTTACTTCGGTTGCTTAAATGTAGGCTTTTAAATGTTTAGTATCAAGCTTGAAAATTCGATAAACGGCATTAACTATTATCCTTATGCGAAGTTTGTGCAATTCGCCAATCATCTCAGAATTGAGTCGTGATTATTCGGTTTAACACGAATGCCTACAGACTTGTACCTCCAAGTTATGATATTTATGCGAGGTCAATGAGTTTGATCAACATTGCAACCGCATCTAATTCAATAAATCGGTGCTCACGTGCATAATCGAAAAGAAATGTGAGTTTAACAAAGACTAATCCTCTATGACTTTTAGCTGCGCGTAGCACCCCTCAGGTGAAGCATGCGCTTTTAAGAATGATTCGGGTAAATCTTATAAACCATTTGGAACGTGGTCGAATTCTCTTATCGACAGCGATTTCTCGAAATCTTTTAATTTTCCTTAAAATCTCAAATAATTATCAGTGAATTAACGTGCAACCCAGTTTTATGACTGAACATTTCTGACCAGACCTGCAATTTATTGATATCTGCTGGTACGGAAATGTGTATTAAATGAAGATATGGAAATCTGTATCCACAGTAATTATGAGCATGGCCAACACATTGCCTGTTTATACAATCTTTCATCTTTTCATGCACCATGCTTCTTTGTTCAACTATTATATTTACAATCTCAGCAGCAAATTTGGAAAAACCCAAAAGAAGAACAAAGAGCAAAGGAAAAAAGAGCTCATTATTTCTGCTGTAAAATTCAATCAACACAAAAAAATAATGTCAGCCACTCAGCATGAGTTGGAAAAGGTCGATCTCTTCTTCGCTGAAGCTGCGGACTTAGCCGATTAGAGAGTTCTGAAGGCCGCTTTCGCGAATCATAATATCGGGTCGGCATTGCAATTTGCTCGACCGTCTCTCGCCGCTCGCTTTCCTATTGAGCGGATGGCAAGAAAAGTGCATCACGAGGGTCGCCATACAATAAACATAGCGAGGGACGCTGATCGATCGAGAATGAAAGGTTGCGAAATAATGAAGCAATGTTGCATATGACAGATACACAATGTGTAAAGAAATCTGTTCAATACACGGTGATGCATACGCATACACTTTAAGACTTCAATTCTTCGACACATTGGCACTTACGTACAATTCGAACTCCGTTCGAGCTCGCGAAATTAGATCGATAAGTCGAAACACATATTGATAGAATGATGTAGAAATACCAACGTAAAAAGTTTCATTGATTCCTATCTCATCCTCGAGCTATACCAAGATCAAATTTTCAAATCGGTTTGGTTTTTTGTTTGACTGCCATCCCTCCTTTTTTTTACTTCAAAAGCAAGGTTTGACCCTAATGCTTAGCAAATGGGTCGTCTGCTGGGACCAAGACCACTTCACCTGCCTCCAGCGCAAAACTAGGAAAAATTACCTAAAAGTACTAGTCATAGTCATAGACTTTTAGATTTAGCCAATTTAATCGTAAATCTTTTGATGATTTATTAATGTCGTCTATCCAGTCAATTTTGGCTGCCAACGTGGATGCAGACCGTCTTACGAGACACAACTAGCACTAACGTAGATAATTTTTAGATTTTTTTTTTTGTTTTTCCTTTTCTTTTCTTGTTTCTTTCCTTTTTTTCCTTTTGTCAGTGGCCGGTCGCTAGCCACAGGTGATGACCGACGAGAGCCGACCTTGCCTGGGTGAGATCTGGTGAGCGGGGCCCTCATCGACGCTCACCCTTGCCCAAGCAAGGCTCAGTGAGGCCAACCCTCGCCTGTGGCCGGGGACCGGCAGTTGGCGAAAAGAAAAGGGAGAAACAAAGAAAGAAAAAAGATATTTTTTTTAATTATTTGAAAATTATTAAAATTATCCATGTAAGGGATTTCCATCCAAAATTGGCCGAATGAAACTATATTGACAAATCGTTAAAAGGTTTAAGACCTAATTGGACAAATTGAAAGGTTGAGAAAATTGGCACAAGCACAATAGACTTAATTGATAACTTTCCTCACAAAACTAAAATACTGACTGTATAGAACAGGTGATATCTGCTTTTTGGTTATTTCCTTTTTTGGCTTAAGAATCAGATCTTTCCTCGATACCGATCATACTGATTTTCCCTTCATGCACATCGAAATTTAATCGACAACAAAACAAGAGTTCGTCGGACGAAGTCTAAGTCCATACAAGTAAATGAACTTGTCCTACGGCTCATCGAAGAGTAATGTAACTTAATTTCCATAATTCCAATTAAACGTACAACAAAAGATAAATCAGGAGGACAACATCGGCAAGGAAAAGAAGAAGAAACTTCGTCGTAAAACCTTAAAAGCAGTCTGAACATAATTTGCAGCCCAGAATGGAAAGATTCTGGCTAGAGCTCGCTTTTGTTACGTCTCCTCTGTTTCTGGGACTAACCATGTGCCTGTTTCATCGCTACACCTACACATTCCCTCTCATCTCTCTCGGCCGATTTTCTCTCCTCTGTCTCTCTCTCTCACTCCCTCTCTGACTAAGCATCAGTTGCTTCGTTGCTCTTTAAAGTCTCTGTCTTCTTCCCCTCTTGCCAGAGGAGCATCCTCCATTCCTGGACAAAAGAAAAGTTCTTCTCTCTGTTTTTCCATCCACACCCTCTTAGTGGTTCTTGCTGTTCATCATGGCTCCTCGGTTTCCTGTGGCGGCAAGAACCAGAGCTCGAACGAAGAGAGAAGATCCCTTTGCCGGATGTCTCTCCAAGGCAGAGCCTGGAAGAAGGAAAGGCGGTTCGGGAGCGGAGGTCAGTGGCAGGGGAGCTCGACCAAGAGCCTCCTCTGTTTCGGGTGGTTTGGGAGCAGGGGGCGTGGCAGGTGATGACGACCATGGGGTCATCGTCATTACCGACGATGAAGACGGCAGTGACGAAGTTATTTCGGTGAGTGGGAGTGTTGAGGAGGAAGATGAGCCTTGCGATGACAGACTTCAGACAGAGTGCAGGTTCGAGCCTAACCGAAATTTTCTTAAAGGTAAGAACATTCCATCAGGGACCGAAGATCCTGATTTGTCCTCTTCGACCGAGACCTCAACTGAGGCTGATGATAGCAGTGATGAGGGTTTCGTTGCGTACATGTCGGAAAGCTTGAGCACAGAAGAGTATGTGTCGGGGAGTGAGCCTGACGAAATTCTGGAGAGAAGGAAAAAAAGAAAATGCGAGGACAAAGGCCAATCGTGCAGTTTCTACAGTGCAAGGAAGAATAATAAGAAGCTTGCTATTGACAGCATAGATGATCCGATGATGGACGATGGAGGAAGGAAAGAGAACACGGAACATAGAGATTCCTGGGTCAATGAATGGTTGCTTGATGATGTGAAGGAGGAAAAAGAGGAAAAAGCGATTAATGTTGATCGATTAAATGCAAAAATCGACTGTCCTTCCAATGATGACAATAGAAATAGTGGGCAGACGGAGGAAGGCAGAAGCTTTAACGTGTCGGAGCGCGGAGGGTTGAGGGAAACGGAAGAAACAGGACGCAGGGGTGAAGGTGATGATGAACGGTTGCAGGAGAAAGGCAAAGCAGCAAGAGTGAATACTAAGGGAAAGACGGGGGAGATGGAAGAAAGAAGAAACTTTAGAGCACCGGAAGAGGAACTACTCAATCAAAGCCGAGAGAAGTCGACTTCCCAGAACAAGGTTTCTGGAGTTGACAGAAGAATGGAGGAGAAAAGATATGGAAAGCATGTACAGTCAGACTCTGATCCTGTCATTCGATATGCGACTTCATCGAAGGTAGAAGGTCGAAAAGAGAGGGTTTTGGGCAAGTCCTGTAGCAGCCAACAACTGCACAAGAAGAGGAAGCATGAGGAATGCAGCGGCAAGAAAGCACTTCCGAATGAAATTGCCGAGAATGATTGTAGGGCCAATTGGGAATCTGGAACTAGGAGGGAGAGAGCTAGGGAACCCTGGTTAAATAAGTTCTTCGAACTCGCCGATTGCCTATGGGGTGAGGATGAGCTTCTTAAAGATGATACAGAGAAGGAAATCGCGGAGAAAGAGAAACAGTGTGCTGGTGACAGTACCGTGAAGGAAGAGAGAAAGGGAAGCACGGAGTGTGGAATCCTGACTAAACCGAGCGAAGAGGATGTTGGGGCGCATCAAGCGGAAGTGAAAAAAGATGGTAGGAGCACCCGCGACCATCATATTCGCTGGGAGAGATCCGGAAAATCGAAAGAATTCAAATATTTCGAACGTGTTGCTAAGAAGTTCAGGAGCAATTAGGAGATGAGGAGCCGGAACCGGCACCAAAATCTTAAGTAGAGAAGGAGATGGACAAGACGTGGGATGACATAAAAATTGTATCTTAGGGCTGGCGAAAATTAGATAAACACATAGAATGAGGCTGTATCAGAGATTATACCTAGTGAATCAAATGTCTAAAGTAAGTTGTATCGGGGAGCTGAGTTATAGTAGATATGTACAGGCCAACATATAGGCATTGTGTTCAATTTCGCATCTAAGCCTTTGCACCAACGGTCTATTATCAGGTCAAAGTCGATGGCATAGCATTAATCAGGTGAAACCACCAAGATGGTTAGTTTAGTAATAAAGGGTCTTCTATTTTCGACGAGATCACAAGTTCGATTCACGTAGTGAGCAAACTTTTGAATGGCTCGTGTTGCATTGCCTAAAAACAATGAAACAGGACTATCCAGGTTACGTCTCATGTAATCCAGGAAATTTTTTAACTCTTAAAGTAAATATCACTACCAGCTCTCATTCACTTTTCTTTGTACCTTGAATGCTGAAAAACAATGAAACAGGACTATCCTCTTATTAGAATTTGATTAGCAATGGTGTAAAGAGGTTCTGTCCCATTTCCTAGTTGACATCCTTCAATCATAAGAAGCCAGCATCTCCCTTGCTACCGTTTACACCATTCAACATAAAGTACACATCCACTTGCGTGCACGTGTGCTTGTGTGTGTGCGTGTGAGAGAGAGAGAGAGAGAAAGAGCTTCAAAGATGTCCATTTTTCATTCAGAAAGCTGAAAGAATTTTACTTGAGGATTATTTTATCGAAGAAATTGCCATGCAGGATTGACCAGCACAGAATGCCGGAGACATCTCTTGTCACGTCGGTTCAAGATGTCAATCAAGCACATTAAAGAAAAGAAAATGGGTGATGCTGAAACTGACCAACCAAGAACAGCCGCAGGGTGTGAAGGCTTAGCTGGTTAGAGCTGAGTTGAGAGCACTGTGCACATCCACTCCGATTTGTGCTTCGGCTTTTTCCAAGTCCGTGGAGGCCGAGTTCAACTTCTGGGTGAAATCAGCAAGCCCCTTCTGGACCAGGCTTGCATCAATTTGATCAAGCGGCACAGCCTCAACAGCAATAATATCTGCATATGAGTTTGCATGGACGAATGCAAAGCCGCTGCTAACAAAGTACTTTGTCACTTCATTTCCATCGTGAACCGACATAACTCCAGGTTTTAGTTCTGCAATAGAGGCCACATGCCCAGGAAGAACACCAAGTTGTCCTGTTGTTGCTGGTACTATGACCATGTCCACCTGAAAGAGAGGAAAGGGCGATTATCCACAACAGCAAATGCAAGGATAGCATGTTCATGCCCGCAGCAGCAACAGAAGCTTTATTGATCCAAGTAGTGCTTTAATTTTGTGCTCGAAAAATGAATTAAAAGGTTGTGGCAAGATAATATGATATATGTAGCAATGAAAGTCGAATTTCTTCCTCCTAGTACTCCAAACTAAAAATAGCTATCACACTCCTTCGATTATCCCTACTTGTATTGCCACTTCAAGCTTCCAATCTCCATTCTCCTCACTAGCAATAACATGTCGTGGGATTGAAAGCAGATTAAATGAGCATGACCAACCAAAAAATGAGACAGGAGAGAATACAAGGTCTATCTTTGCAGAGCATGAACAGTGTCAGGTTTAAAGTAGTAACTACAATCAATGGGGAGAAATATACCGATATCACAGAAAACAAATTCTCGTAAAGGATTCTACCTGACCAAAACAAATCTGGAATCAACTACCAAGTCTGCCACAACCATAAGAAACCCATGAGGTCACTAGAAATTCTAGACTTCAAAACTGCTAACAGCCCGTAGACTTGGGCTATAACTTTAGGGATTATTCTTTGGTTCATTAGAATTGCCCGAGGTTGAAAATACTAGAAACTAACATCAGAATACCAAAAATCCACTTTAGCTAGTTTAAATCCATCAATAACTAAAGACTAATAACCTGTACTGCTGTTGCAATTTCTTTTGATCACCGATAGCAGCAATCGTTTCTTTTGTACAGATATTTCTGTCCAAAAGCTAATTTCTCTTTCACCTTTTTCATCACTTATATGTGCACCTTCAAAGCAGCAGTTTCCTGAATTTGCATCTCTTACATAAACATGCTCGTATCACCAATACCAGCAATTGATAGAACCCAAATGAATTAGGGAATTTTTCAAGAGTCACTGGATCAAAATCAAACAATGCAAATTATAGTCCAAAATCTACACGACACTTAAACTGACCTTTTTGACAGCTTGCAAAGCACTTGACATGGACAACTTTTTTTGCTTTGAAAAATCAAAGGCTTCCAATGAAATTCGGGCAAATCACTTTGGTTAAAGGTGGTGGCAGCTAAATTCGGCTCAGGAGTTGGATACATCCCAAAAATGGAAAGATGTCTCAAGACCAAGGGCTTGGGGATGGAAAGAGAAGGCTGGACGGACTTCCACAATTCAATATGGCACTTGAGATGGGGGGAAAGTGGAACATACTTATATTCCAAGATGGGTGTGGTATCGCACTTCTAAGAAATCAATTCCACGATTTATTCCTTATTACCAAATTAAGCTTTTTCAGTAGCCAGTATAATATTCTGGTTCATTAGTTTTTCCAAGATAAAGCATGCTTGGGAATTAGAACCATTGACTATTCCCTAAACCTTTTATAAGCAATATCAGAATCATTCAATTTGAAAAGAATATGACGTCATATATGAAAATGTAGTAAATCAAGGGTGTTCACAGTGAACTACTTCTGTAGAACCTTAATATTATCATGAAATCACGATTCTCACTCACTTTGTCTGTGAACTACTTAGATTGAAGAACATAAAAACCAAATGAGTCAGAAAAGCCAAAGTCTAGGACAAGTTGGACCCTAACTATTAAATATGTTATCAAATGGATTCCTTGGTTTGGGTTGAAGAAGCAATGCCACTCACATTTTCCCTAGAAGGGCAACTTGGGAAAGGAACTTTCCAGCATAATTTTCTTTCACTGTTTGATAAAGTGCGGGACACATTCTCACCCCGGACTCCTCCAAAAAAGGAATAGAGTTTCAGAAAGAGCACCTTTTTTGTACATGAAGAGGAAACTGCTTTTATCTAGTTTTACACTAACCTTGGACATGCTGATTCTACAACTTTTTAAGATTCTATGACGAACTACTGGAACATGGAATGTTGGTAGAGTATGAGAGAGTTAAACCAGTGTCCCCCTCGGCTTCAAGCAAGTCCGTCTTTGATGGATTTATGTTGATATAATGCCATTTTTCAAAGAAAATAATAGAAGGGCTTTCGACAGGAACAGCACTTGTATTAATATTTTCAGAGATGGATAGTTTGAAACTTCATTAAGTTCAGCACACTTTAAAAAATTTTATGGCTATCAATGCTTTGATGGCATTACATATTCTCTCTCTAGTTAATCATCTCTTTCCAGGGCTTGATCTCTACTTATATGTGGGTTTGCATTCCTTGGCTCCGCCATAGTGAATTTTTTTTTTCACTTAGCTCTTAATGGACAACAAGCAGACAGAACAAGGATCAGCATGTCGAAGAAATGGCACAAAATCAATCATAGAAAAAGAAACCGGAACTACAAAAAGCACCACTTGTAATCAAATCTACAGTCAAGCAATAGGTGTACAATCTCGAATTGAAACTTCAATGCAGCACTACCTCTCTGGTAGTAAACTGCTTATCCTAGACCAGATTAGCAAGTTCTCGAGCAGGGGAAAAGATAAATTCGACTCGATTACTTATACTAAATCACTCTGCAAACTCTCAATGCTTGTACTTCTACTTCACACTATCAAACCATACCCCTCCACCACCCACCTTTTCCCCCGGGAGAGCAAAGCACAACACAAGAGAGAACCATCTCAAACACACAGAGAACTGAATAATTGGTCTCGTAGAAATTGGCCGCGGGGGCAGCTTTCGGGATTGGATCATTTACACGATTGACAGGGGAACAACTATGGATACACCAAACAGCCAATGGATTCGCCAAACACGGGATGCAACTCAACCTTCAAACGCCTCAGTATCCCACGACCAACACGAAGAACGCATTGCAATGCCATGACTGTGGGCATCGGAAACACTACAGAACGAACTCCACCCTAGAACAGACACCAGAAGCTCAACTCATCCTCATATCACGCAATCATGCGCTACACAACCAATCCCCAATCAAACATATACGAGCAAGGCGTCCGAAAACATACACGACTACAGATTCAGCCGATCGAGGGACGGACCTCCTTATGGGACAGCTCCGACGCGTATGGGAGGACGAAGTTGACGGTGAGCTTGGACGGGATCGACGGCGGCGCGGGGGGCCTCCGCTGCATGAAGGAGAGAGGGGTCTTGGGCGGGTCGATGTTGGGGACCGCCTTCTTCCACGCCTCCACGAACGCCGCGCCGGCCGTCTCCGCCACCGTCGCCGCCGGGGCGTCCGCGGAGAAGGGGCGGGACGGGGCCCCCCTCGCGGCGGCGGCGGCGGCGGCGGCGGTGGCGGAGGAGGACGGGACGGGCCGGCGGAGCAGATTCCTCGCGGCCCGCCGGAACATGGCGGCGGATCGAGGGTGGGGGCTTCGCTCGGCTGTCCCGAGGTCGGAGGAAGACGGAGAAGGGGAGCGATCTGAGAGGGAGGCCGCCGTGATTTTGGCTGTTCTTACTGGGGGATTTACCGTTCCTCTGACTCGGTATTTATTTTATTTCTTTATCGAAATTATATTCTATTGAATATCTGAAAAAAATAATAAAAAAATAGCAAGATAAATAAAGCTTATTTTCGTGTAGCATATAATCTTATGTTGTCTGAAAATGTTTTTGGCATATGTTTTTAGCAAGGGTTGATGATATTGTTATCCTTTTTTTCTTTTATATCGATCTTTCGATATGGATTTTCATATAAGATAAAAAAAAATAGAGACTTGGGAAGAGTTGGAAAATTAATGGGGCGTATTTGAATTATGGGTAATATCATTTTTTATGGCATAATATGATGCCTTCGCGTGTCATAATTATGAGATGTATAAATAATTTATAGAGAATCAAATTACCGCAAATCTAATTTAAAATTTATGCAGTCGAACGAGTTGTATAAGTTAATTTCGAAATATGTAGATTAATGAGCTCGACCTTGGATTGGGTTAGAAATCGAGCGAATCAATATCGACTCAAGTGATCATCGAGCAAAGCCCGAATTATTCGCGAATAAATCACTCAATTTCATCCTTATTTTTTGGTACAAAATAAGCGTCACGTCGAGAATGTCTCCTTCATTTACACAAGGGTTTAAAACTTTTTTGGCTTGTTAAATTAAAATTTTCATCAACGAATGTTCTCAAAACGAGTATAGTCAGTGAATTAAAAATTACAATATTTCCTTATGATCGTGTCTCTTGTCAGTGGGTTACAAATACAAGCATTATCTACTTTAAATTCTAGTTAAATGTACATTAAACAAGTTTATAACTTATAATCTAAGATAAAATCCAAATTCAGATATTTTTAAATAAAATTCAAAACTCGATTTATTTCCCAGATAATGTTGAATTTGGAAAATATTTTAAAAAAAATAATTTTTTATATCGCTTAAAATAATTAATTTATTAAAAATATTTTTAATATCAATAGCAATTTAAGTTTAAGATGAAAAATATTTTTTCGTTTTTAAGAAAATAAAAATCTAAGTTTTCTTTCGGCCATTTTCCCAACGACCGCTCCGTGAGCTGCTGCTTCTGCACACCAGACTCGACCTAGCCTCTCGCCGGCGATCCACAAGCTCGCCGCCCCCCATGGCGAAGGCGCCGCCGCCGCCGCCAGTCTCCGGCCTCCTGTGGCACGCGGCCGCCGCCGCCTGCCTCAAGCTCCTCCTGATCCCCTCCTACCGGAGCACCGACTTCGAGGTCCACCGCCACTGGCTCGCCCTCACCCACTCCCTCCCCATCTCCCGCTGGTACTCCGACGAGACCAGCCCCTGGACCCTCGACTACCCTCCCTTCTTCGCCTTCTTCGAGCTCCTCCTCTCCTACGCCGCCCGCGCCGCCGACCCCGTCATCGTCCACCTGCACCGCGGCCTCGGCTACGGCTCCGGCTCCGTCGTCCTCTTCCAGAGGGCCACCGTGGTCGCCACCGACTCGTGCCTCGTCTACGCGGCGCACCGCCTGACGAGGAGGTGGGAGCCGGGCAAGGGGAGGTTGATCTGGGTCCTGGTGATCTGGTCGCCGATGCTGCTGATCGTGGACCACGTGCATTTTCAGTATAATGGGTTCTTGCTGGGGATTTTGCTGCTGTCCATTTCGTACTTGAGCGAAGGGAAGGACTTGGCGGGTGGGTGCTTGTTCGCGATCTTGTTGTGCTTTAAGCACTTGTTTGCTGTGGCTGCGCCGGTTTACTTTGTGTACCTGTTGAGGCGGTGCTTCCGAGGCACGTTTGTGAGAGGTTTTGGTCGGCTTTCGGCTCTAGGGGCGGCGGTCATCGCGACTTTTGCGGCGGCATATGGTCCGTTCATTTATCATGGCCAGGTTAGTGCCTGCTCTGTTTTCAAAAGTGCTGAAGTTGTTGTGCAATGCTGCTTTATTTCTGTTCTTTTATTTGGGGACAACTTCTTGTGTAATGTGGTCGCAGAGATCACTAGCTAATTATCAGAAGTTTTAGATGCTTTCTTCATCTATTAGAATTGGTAAAATTGGTGCAACAGTTTTATTTAGACGTGATGGGTTCCGATGATGTTGCTGCTGTGGGCTATTCATTTAGTGGGAAGGACAGGTTCTTTGAGGATTTTTCGGATGAAGGGCCTTTTGTTTTTCCGTTTTGAGTGTTTATTGGCCTTTACTTGGTGTTCTGGTTATGAAAGTGCATAACTTTACCGTTTCTGACGGTGGAACATGGATTTCTCTTGAGTATGCTCGTGAATATTGAAGTAGGAAAATGGAGAACTTATCCAGAAAGTCGCCACTGTGTTTCGCAGCAACTGCAGTTTTATCCAGAAAAATTGAAAGGGATACGGGAATGTGGCAATCTTTGGTTCTCAGGGTCATTTGAGCCTGATTGTAGAGCACCTATCATTCTTTTGACTTTTAAGTTTTAACATGTCTATGGGGCTTGAGCTTTGTATTTACTCTTTTTACTTTACTTCCTAAAAGTCACGGTGACAAGATCTACTTGTGTGTTAGGATTTGTATTACTCGTTAAAACGGAGCCTTTTCTCTTCCGCCTGTGGGTACAGCAATATCTGGTTGTCTATGCAACTATGTTTCCCAGATTATGATGTTACAAGTGCAGTTGCTCCCAAGATTCCATATGGAAAACTTGGAAGCTTACTTATGCAGAGCTTGCTTCTGGTTTAGATTATAGTAAATTACATTGCGGACACTGTGCTGACCGAAGCTTGCTTATGCAGACTTAAAGCTTACTTTTATGTCTGGTAAAGTTGTTCTTAGAACAGTCAGGATAGAATTGTTTATCCATTCAATTTAGGAGCCTCCTCTTTTTATCAACTTTAACTCCTTGGATGATCTCATAAGCAGATGCTAGATGCATGTGGTCTGTGTAATCTGCTTTAAGACAGGCCTCAATCATATCTTCCTAAAGCTTATTTGGCATCAATAAATTCGACCCTTCTTGGAGACTCTAGATAGCTTTTACCAAATAGATGTGCTTTTCACCTGCCAACTTTACAGGTGCCTCGCATATTTGACGACTGATGTCGTGCTTGTGTTTGTTAATGCAGTTGATTAGTGCATAAGTATTGAACTCTATCTGTGCAGATGCAACAAGTCATTCGCCGTATGTTTCCATTTGGCAGGGGGCTTTGTCATGCTTACTGGGCACCAAATTTTTGGGTTTTCTACATCGTAATGGACAAGGTGCTGTCTTTTGTGCTAAGAAGATTGGGGTTTGACATTCAAATGCCTGCAGCATCGTTCACTGGTGGGCTCGTGGGAAATTCATCGCCATTTGCTGTACTTCCACAGGTAATTTCTTAAATTTGCAATTAATCTGGTACTTAAGGCTCTTCCAATCAAATGACTTGTATAGTCAACGGGGAGTTAGTTAAGTCGCTTTGTTGATTTGTAATTTCCTGGTAATGCGCTAAGCAGTTCAGTTGATTTATTATTTTCTCTGTAAAAGCATATTCTGGCAGAGAGTTGGCCAAATGATATTCTTAATTCCATGTCTCCCACATTTTTATACTTGGGAATGCAATATTTGACAAAAATACGATGCATTTAGCACACATTGTGGGGACTGGAGTCATTGATCTTTTGAGTTTACAGATGTCCTGTAATTTCCCTGTAGCATTGCCATCTGATGTTGCATATATATGTTAACTACAGATCACCCCCTTGACAACCTTTATCATGGTTCTGCTAGCCTTGTCTCCTTGTCTTATCAAGGCCTGGAGAAATCCCCAACCAAAAGATGCTGCAAGATGGATAGCATATTCCTACACAAGCGGATTCCTGTTTGGGTGGCATGTTCATGAAAAAGCATCTCTCCATTTTGTCATCCCCCTAGCACTCACTGCAGTACAAAGTCCGGGTTACGCAAAGCATTATTTCTGGCTATCAATAGGTATGCTCTTCAGGATAATTTTGCATTGCCTAATCAAGTTATATAGCTTATGTCCAATCTTGTATATTCTCTTTTGATACTACACTTATTGCATAGTGTGCTTGTTGCTCGTTGCTATCATAGCCTTATTTGGTTTGATGAGTTAAATTTCAGCTTTCAATCTGTGTGTGTGTGTGAGATAGAGAGAGAGAGGCAGGAAGGAAGATTCAAGATTTTGTCAAAATCCCCTCTTTGGGTGTCTTATTGCCCAATGCATGGTGTAAAGCAAGTTCTCAATCAACTATAGATTATGGAGCTAAGTATATCTGGTGTGCTATCCCACATTCTGGCCATTTCTTAATCTCTTGAAGAAGAAGAGGAAAGGCAATAGAAGAATTAAAGAACAATTTATAATGAGGAGCATTGAGAGAAGTTCCTGGCTAATGTCCGCGATTTTCTCTTTAGTATCCTTAGATTGTGCATAATACTCGATACGTACATTCATACATACATATGCATACTTTTTTTTACGTATACATACTTTTTGTGCAAATTTTGAGGATTCAAAGCTAGACACTAATTCATATCACCCCAAGAAAATTTGTTAGAACACTAATCAGACTGTTGGACAGTAAATTCATGTACTGTGATACATTTTTCTACTTATTTCCCTCAAATTTTAGAATATAGAAGCTTAGACAATGTGGATAGTGTAACCTAAATGGGTCAAATACTGTTATTATGTCAATTTCGCAATAATTTTGCTTGTGCAGTGTTATTATTGCGCTCCACTGAATAATTTCTTTTAGTCATGACATGTACTATCCGGTTGAGATGTTCTATTGTCTTCAAGTTTGCAAGCCCTTCAATGTCCGATTTCTCGATTCTGCATCACTTGTGAATAATCAAATACTTCTTGATGTCGACAAAGGATAGATGTATCTAATGTCTTTTATTAATTAGCCAAACCTCTCAAATGCCCTGTTCTAACATTCTTGCGTCTTTGCCATGCAGTATCCTGCTATTCACTCTTCCCACTTCTCTTCGAAGCCCAAGAGTATCCCATAAAAGTGTTGCTGCTGCTATTGCATTGCATGGCGATGTTCCTCAGCTTCTCTGCGCTATTCGATGGGAGTGCAAGAGCGAAAGCAACTGCTTCTGAGTCAAGAAAAGGAGATCAATCCAGAGAGAAGAGAAGCTTGGGTCTGACCAAGGAAGGAGGGTTTACCATTGGTTGGATCACAAAGTTTTATTTGTTCGGTATTTTACTTGTCGAGTTATGGGGTCAGTTCTTGCATCCTTACATTCTCGGCAATAAGCTTCCTTTCGTGCCCCTGATGATGATATCCGTATATTGTGCATTCGGCATCATGTACTCATGGATTTGGCAACTGAGATCAATTATCAGATGTTCTAACTGATAGCATTAAGTCTTCCAAATTTTGTGCTTCTCTTATCTTGAGGAACTCTTTGTTGTATTGATCTAATAGTGCAACTCCCAATTGAATGAGAATGGAAAGGCTGCTTTGCCACATCCGTAATGCATTTGACTGGATTAGAAGCTTGGTGCTCCTGCAAGGGATGAATCGGCAGAAAAACCACCACCTTAATTTGTGGTTTCATTATCTGTTAGAAAGTCAGTGACTTCTCTATGAAGTTGCTTGTGAATTTAGTGAACATGATATGATGTTATTTTGTTCTAAGAAAATTATTCAAGAATTGGCTAATCAAAAGAGTGCTTTTTTTATTCATTTGTCTTGTTTTTTCGCATTCAGTTAAGGAGGTATTCATCAGTCGTAAGTTCGACGATGAATATGAGAAAAGCCTAGCAAGTTAGCAAGCAAGACATCATTATGCATGATTGTGCAGTTGAATAATTGGTAAAACATGTCTTAAGGACGGGCTCCAGAAAAACATCGGAGTCTCGATGAGCACGACTCGTGCAATTAACTTGGATTCTCTAAATCTGGAGTGTGTATTAACCATTTAACTCGCGAAAAAGATCCGGATTATCTCTTCACAGATTTCTTCCATCCCAGAGAAGAACTTAATTGGGAGTAAAGCATGGTCAGACCAAATGCTTGCTAAGCATACGAGTGTGATTTAAATCTCCTCTTTTGAGTCCATTTAAAGTTTAAAAAAAAAACCCTAATGACTTGATTAACTTAATCTGAACTTAATAGAAATTTGTGAAAAGCTTCTGATACAGGGGACATGGCCAGTTTCTGTTCCTCCTCCTCACGCTTCAGAGCAAGAGAGAAGACATTATAGGACTGAATGAAAAGAAGAAATGTCAAAAAGCTGATGCACACTCAAACCCAAGAACGTATTCTTTATCAATTGACATTCACATACACGTTCACCAACAAAGAATGCACACACATGGTTTGTGCATTGAAGGAGCACGCCAAGAGTAAAAGGAAAGCAAAGGAGGACTCTGCGAGAGAGCCTGCACCATTCCAACTTGCAGATGACCTGATATCATCTCTCTCTCTCTCTCTCTATCTATCTCTCTCTCTCTGAGTGTCATTCATGACATTTTGTGCAAGACAGTCTCAGTGTCTGCAAATGCTGTCTTCCTTGGACAGAGAAAGCAATTATACTTCCACCTGCTTTTTACAGGTGCATTTAATCCCCGAAAGCCCTCTCTGACTCCTTCAAAAAGTTCACGGTTAGTTTTTTCTAGTTTTCCTTTTTATCTTATCTTTCAATATGAACTTCATTTGTTCGGGTAAATATTAACCAAAACGTCAAATTATATCTACCGTGATACAAATGTTCCAAATTATTTTTGTGTCACGAATAACCCTGAAGTTCAAATACCCAAAAAATATTTATGTCACGAAAAAATTTAAATTTATACATGCATGGCATATGTACTATCTTTACAGTTTCATCTAGGGTATATTTTTCATATCGGTATAAATTCAAGGTTTTTATGACATAGAAAATTTTTTGGGGTATTTATGTCACAGTGAGCATAATTGACGGTTTTTTCACCCTTTGTTTTATTTGGTCCTCGAATCATCTATATTGGTTCAATTTTGACTATTTGGTAACGTGGCCATGTCTTTTAGACTACATTCTAAACTAATAGAATAAAATGGGTCATACCTTACATGTAGTCTACCCCAAAAAAATCTAGATAACCTTTCCAATATCAATTTACTAGAGTATTCGGATGATCCACATCATGTGGACACAAAACTTTCAAGGACCATCGAAACCCTAATAGGGAAAACGATTTTGTTTTGAATCCATGTTAATAGATCTCGAGACACTTGTTATGTATGTTTAATAAAGATAATGCATAAGATATCGATTACACGCATCATCAAAACTTAACGAGTGCTACGGGAATACCCATAAATAAAATCCCGAAAATCTCATTCACCCTCTCAATCACATAAAGATAAACACATTAGAATTCGATCTATCTTTCCCCAATATATCTTCTTCTTTTCTCAATCTCTTTGTCAAAGCATATCATAACCAATTATTTAAACATTATCACATTCTTATCAAACGCTTTTAAAGCACTCATTAACAAAAGCCCGAAAATCTTATTCACCCTGATCCAACCCGACGAAGACGACGCATCAGAATTCGATTTATCTCGTCAAAGCGGATCACAACCCACCATTAAACACGACCACATTCGATGACAAATGCAAACCCTAGATGCCAAGATTCAAAAGAGGGTTTGAGAGGTCAACCGCAATAATATATACACCTCGAGCATAGGGCGTGCTACATATGTGCAACCCAAAGTGCTGGAAATCATGTGATCATGCGATAATAACGCAGACTCCAGACTTATAAAGTATACATAATGAGGCTGTCGTGCATATTCTATCTTTTCCTAGCTTTAAGCTATGCCTGTTGTTTTAGTAATTACACTTGGAAATTAAAAAAAAAACATTATGGTATTGATATGGAACAGAAATCATTCCTCTTTGACCGTAAAAAAATAGCATTATCCTCATCATCCAGCAAGTATAGCTACGTATCTACTGTGTCTTCCGAAGAAGTTTGACTTTTTAGAAGCTTTAGGAGGTGGGTTTGACCGTCTCATTTCCACCAAATTTTTTGTTAATTCACATGTCCCTAGCCCTGAGTAGCCTGGCATTATAAAAAACTATGCATTATATCCCAATCCTGATTCAATTATTCGGGACATAATTACATGATCATCCGTATTTTATATTACATTTTTGGGCACTTTCGTTTCACCAAGCATGTCTTTTTTTCCTTTTGATTTCATTCTTGATAGGAGTGTCCATCTGATTGTTTAGTAATTTAAATGATAAAAGCCTGAAATGTGTTCAATCCAACACATGCAGGAAGGAAGAGTATATGAGAGGACTTGTATCTTCTATAACTTCAATGTTATGTCACATTATACATTGGAAGTAACCCACGTTCATGTCTGCATGCGGGTGATGTTTGAATTCGTAACCCATCCATCGGATGTTTCTCCGATCAAGAATGAAAGGGAAATACAGCCCCTTTTCGCGATTGAACTCATAGTCGATAGTCAAAAAGAGCTCGAGTTCTTGTAGCACGATGAGACGGTCCGAGGTTGGATCCCTTATGAATGAAAAGTTGATAATTTGGTGAATGAAGATGGGTTGAAAACTCGAAATCTCTCCTTCACAGCCAAAAGGGCAAGTGATCGAAAGGAAGAACAACGAGAGAATTGAACAATGAGCTTATTTTTAATACTTAAATTGCAAATGCAACATAAGATAATGTTATGGTCGAGTATAATATATCATCCTACATGCCATTATCTCTTCAATCATGTGTGCTACTAAGACAACCTCACGGTTATGCTTGTTTACAAGGTTCATTCTTGCACGAATCTTCCATTTGGAACTTTGCTCTTTTGGTCTCTAAATTAGAATTTCATAACGCAATGGCACGATGACAATTCCAAAAAATAATTCGGACTTTGATTGTTTTAAGTATTCCGATGAATTTCATGATTGAATTGAGGCGCCAATAATCCACGAACTTTCTCGATCTATTCGGTTTAACCCTCGAACTTTTCTTTGTCCAATTGAAAGCGAAGCGAATCCAAAGATTGGCAAGGGTCCTTGAACACCGGCGAGACCCTTACCAGGCGGTCGGGTGGCCACACCGCCGCGTCACCTAGCCTCTGCCTTCACTTCCCCTCCCCTCCTTCCGCCCCCTCACTCCCTCTCCGAACTCTAATCTTTTTGTTTTTTTTCATGTTCTCGAGTTTATTTATTTTTTTCGCCGACGTCGCATTAACACGATCCTTCCCATCAATACTTCCGTCCTTGTATTCGACAAACGACCCACGTGAACATTAAAAAGAAAGGAAAAAAAAAAAAAAGAGCGGGATCGGCCCGGGGACCTGTACGGACCCGGAAAAAGAAAATCCGGGACCGAAAAGAAGAAAAGAAAAGAAAAGAAAAGAAATTATTCGTTCACGATCTATCAATCTTTCATTGGCCTTTGTAGGACGGTACGAAATAATACACAAGCCAACCTAGCCCGTCGCAAAAGAAGGGGACACTGCTTTTATCTGTGTGTGTGTGTGTAGTAGGACTGATTGTAGGGTAAGGCTTTGAGGCTGGGCCAATGTTTTCTTTCCCCAAGCATCATTATGCGCAGGACATGAACGAACAATTTCGGTGCCCTGAAATCGAAAAGGGGGAGGACCTGAAGTTTCGCCATCCCAGCACACACACAAGTACATATGATTTGGGTTGGCAAATAATTCTTGCAACGACCCCTAGTAGAAACCCACCCCTCGAGCTTCCTAGGCTGACGAATGGTACGCGGCGAGAGCCGTAAGGATCTTATCCGATCGCCCGGCACTGTATCGAGGGAAAGATCTCAAATAGGGACCTGAAGTGGTGATGTTCCTTTTTTTCTCTTAAAAGGGGTTTCGGAGTAGACTTTATCTCAAATAAGGTCCTCACCCACTCACCGGCGGGGACGGATCTTCGCTGGCCTGTGAGCATGTGTGGGTCACGTGCCACTTTTCAAGCCATGGTCGGGGTGGGCATCTCGGTCTTGGGGCGCTGTCTTTTCTTTTTGTTCTTTTCCCTTTCTTTCTGTTCTCTCTCTTTTTCCCCTCTTCCTTACCCAATGTAGTGGGGATCGTTTGGATAGTTACCCCCCGCACTCGTGCCGAGCCACTGCTGGTGTGCCCGATCTCGCTCGACATCGGAGGGAATCCGGCGAAAATGTTAAAAGACAGGTTCCGAACTGAACATGTACATAAATTCGGGGGGGACACTTGCGTCGTACCTGGCGGTCCATAAAGACTCGTTACGCAAACGCGGTTCGAGCGCCGGCACGTATACGCAGTTTTTAATTTCGACGGCCCTATTTGTTCCGTCGGTCGGTAGATGAGAGTTTCCCATTTTCATGAATGCCCGTGGTCAAAAAACACGGCTTTAATACCGACGGAACGGCGGTGCACCACCTTCTAGAAACCCATAACGATATTTCAAGTTGAAAGTGGGCGAATCGTTCGCGAAACGAGGACCGCCACCCGTGAATGAAAGCGTATCCAGAACACGAAGTGTCCGGTAGCCGGGTCCTTTTCATCTCTTCTCTCCGGCTAAAACCCGAACGCGCCGGGAAAAAAATTACCGGGAGAAGGCGGGGGGGTCGTGTTAACGAGTTCCCATGACCCACGCCACATGCTTAACCGGCCCGGGTCGCCGGAGCAGCTGGCCGGTTCCCCGGGGCGGGGGGTGGGGATATTTTTACGGCGGTTTCGGTCGAGAGATTCGCGGCCAGAATGGGGATGGGATGGAAGTGGGAGAAAAAGCGAAAGATGTAACGAACTCGGAATTTCCCCCCTTTTTTTTTGTACGTCGGCGCGTGTTTTTGGTTTTTCGGCCCCCCTTTTTGGTTCGGACGACAACCGGAACAAAACTTACCACTCAAGTCATCCGGACATCAAAAAAAAAAAACGACACACACCGTGTTTTTCACAGTCGCGAAGGGACCCGGGGGGAGGTGGGGGGCGCTGCCACGTGCGCAACCCCCGCGCACGTTAGCCCCGCCCGTCCCGTCCCGACCAGGCACCCCCTCGCGCTTCATTTCTCCGCTTCGAGTTCGCTTAGCTGCATTTTACTCCCTCTCCCTCTCCCTCTCGTTCGACGCCATTCATTGAAACTCCTCTCGGAATTCTCGTCGCCGCCACCACCCCTCCCTCTCTCTCTCTCTCTCCGCCCGCTCCGGCCACCCGCTGCGGCCACCCGCCGCCGCCGCGCGCCGCTCACGTGATCCGCTGCCGTCGTCGTTGTATGTTGATGTACATCTATCGCTCGCTCTCGCTCTCTCGCCTTGTTGATGTTTGGTCGTTGTTTCCGCATTCTCTCTCTCGTATAGACTGAACTGACTTCCTCTCTCTCTCTCTCTCTCTGGAAGATGTCCACCGCGTCGCCGTTCTTCCTCGGCGCGGAGATGCGATCGCCGCCGCCGCCGCCTTCATTCCCGCCGACGTCTTCGCTGTCGAGCCTGAGCCCGAGCGTCATCATCACGCTCATGGTCCTGTCCCTGGCCATCATCGTCGCCACCTGCGCCTGCCTCCTCTTCCGTCACCTCCACCGCCTCCCCCTCCCTCGCTGCCTCCTCCTCCTCCACCACCGTCACCGCCACCTCTCCTCCTCGGCCTCCTCCTCGTCGCCTCCGCCGCCTCTCCGCTCCTCCGCCGCCGCCGCCGCTGCTGCTCCTCCTCCTCATCCAGACACCGTCCGTGACGACTCCTTCATCGACTCGCTCCCTCTCTTCTCCTTCTCCTCCGTCACGCGCCGCTCCTCCGCGGCATCCGACGGGGACTGCGCCGTCTGCCTCTGCAAGTTCAAGCCCCACGACCTGCTCCGGCTGCTCCCCCTGTGCTGCCACGCCTTCCACGCCGAGTGCATCGACACGTGGCTCCAGACGAACCGCACGTGCCCGCTCTGCCGCTCCAACGTCCACGCCAGCGAGGCCGACCTCGAGGCCCTGCTCCAGTCGTCGGCGAGAATCGGCGCGGGCGACGGCGGCGGAGGCGGAGGGAGCTTCAGGCTCGAGATCGGCTCCGTCAGCCTGCGCCGGTCCTCCGTCGACGGCGGCAGCGGGGCCGAGGCGCGGCGGTCCTACTCCATCGGCTCCTTCGACTACGTCGTGGAAGCGGACTCGGAGGTCGCGGTCGCCGGCGATCGTCACCGGAGGAGCGTCTCGGACAAGGAGGACGGCGCGGCGGACGCCAGCCTCGCCGCGGACGTCGCCGCGGGGGGGCGGAGCTGGCTCGGGGAGTACATGGACCGGCTCTCCGCCTCGCTCTCGTCGCGGACCGCGTCCTTCCGGAGCTCGAGGAGGTTCTTCACCGGGAGCAGCCGCCGGAGCGAGGCCTCCGGTGTCGGCGACTGGGACCTGGAGGCCAGCCGCGTCGGAGAAGAGATCAGCGAGCTCTTCCGATGGGTCTCAGGGGTATGACCGGTAACGGTAAGACGACGGAAGCAAGCAAACACGAAATCTCTCTCCCCGCACCGCACACACTTGCTACCTCCACTCCCGCTCCACACTCGGAGCGCGCGTAGCAAAGAAAAACTCGGAGCGGCGATAGCAGAAACAGGGCCAGGGGGGGGGCGCTCGTGACGCACGAGCTCCCCGGAAAATTAATTCTTTTTTAATATTTTTTTTTCTCTTGTCAATATATCCCCCCCCTCCTCCCCCTCTGTCTTTTTTTTTCCCCACGCTATAAAAAAAACATTTTTTCTCCCCGAACGAAGGGTCGAGATCGTCCCGCTTCCATTGAGGGAGGGGGTTTGGACGGCTGAGATCAGATGGAGAAGGGATGACGTGGCACGACCTTTGCTGCCGCCCGGAAATTACCGGAATGGCCTCGGGGGGTCGTGTCGCGCGAACGAAGGACGACAGCGGTGGGGCATTAATGGATATGTGTGCATCGGGATAGGTCACCAACCAACTTAAAAACCGCACGACCGCCCCCCTATTAAATTCCGTAATAACGATTCCCGTCCGGATTCTTTTAACATTTCCTGCAATTTGGTCCCTACACCTCTGTTGCTATATTCTAGTTTCGGGGCGAATTTTGGGGTGGGTTTTTATATTGCCCGACATTATATGGCGAATATAGAAAGGAATGGGAATTGGAATTGGAATCGAAATCGAAATCGGAATTGGCTTTGGAATTGATTGGTAGATGCCGCATTCAGGGGGGAGGGGGAGGAGATGGGTTGTTCTTTATTTAGTACTTTGCTCAATTTGTTGAACAAAACAAAACCAAATCGGTACAAATTTAGGTCACCATTTCTTGCTTCGAGGGGGGCATGGAAACGAGACACCTGTACTCACTTGCTCGGGGCTTATTAGATATTTGATTCTAACTACTGAATCTATTGTGCCACCCAAGGAAAAAAAAAAAACACATTGGCAAACGGGTAGCAATGGGTGGGCGGCAATGGAGCCCTTGTCCTTTGATTTAGTTGAGCCAAAGCTTAAGTCGTTGCAGAATGTTAGCATGTCGAACGGAAGTCGAATACGGGGCGGGAGAAACGCGGGCCCGAACGACCTCCGGACTGATTCGTGCTTACCCATCTTGCCGTGTCGTGTCTTGTGCGGGTTCGACCTGTACTTGGATTGAGGGGAGGAAGTTACGCTGCTGTGGAAGATGTCTTCTTGCATAAGGTGTTACGGTTTTTCCCCCTGTACGGTCGAACTTAGGACCAAAAGTCACGGGGGTTCCAATCCCCGCGATTCTGTCTGCTTCGGGTCCTTCTCTTTCTTTCGCTTTTTTTAACAACAGAAAGAAAAGGAAAGGAAGGAAGGAAAGAAACAAAAGTCAAGAAAAAAAACGGCACGAGCTTGCGTGTGATGATGATGCCCCGCGACGAGATCTCGCCGTGCTATTGGTCTCGAGCTCGAGCCACACAGGTCGGCAGGTAGTCCCAAAAATAGGCTGTCCGAAACCTTGCAGATGGACAGTTTTAATTTAAGTCTCGGACCGGATCGAGAAGCCCTTGTTATTATCTGTCGTTCGAAGTGCCTCGGTGCATACGGCTGATGATGCCTTCCCGGTTTTAGTTGCGTTACGCTCCTTGTTCTTAGCACGACCCGAGGATTTCGCGTATTGCGCTTGGGTGGCTGGTGTGCCGATGTCTTTTTCAGCACGCCGGGTTCGACCTGAGAATCCGTATGGAGGGGCCGATGTTTCGCGGGGCTTCCTCCTCCTCGCAAATTCACTGCCGAGTGGAAAAAAAGTTTGGAAGAGTTCAAAAGGAAAACCGATGGCGCGAGCTTGAAACCTTGTGTGTTCGGTTGGTCCTGGTCCGATGATGGGGGCGCTGATGCGGGAGCGCTTCTCGTAAGTCCGCTTTGGACCCTGCGAAGACACGGCTCTCGTTCTCGACTTTGAGCTCCTCGAAACGGTTAGGACAAAGATGAAGCCTCTATAATTAGACGAGAAGCCTCAAACCATTAATTAAACTCGGAACGAAATCGGTTACGATTAAGGGTGACGTGTGGACTGATTCTTGAGCAATTGAGTAGAGAACATAGACGCCGTATCGAGATCATGGTCATGGCCGGTTATAACTTTATGTGGCTAGACAGTGGTTCGATCATCAGCTAACTGCAAATTCTCAAAGGTCTCTAGGATAAGATCTGGGGTCTGTCGTGTGCGTCCTTTTCACTGTCCATCTCAACATCAAACAACATTGAAAGTACAAAATCGATTTCGTCCCATTTCATACCAAAATTTGCACATTCCCTCTTCTTGAGCATTCCCCCGGTCCTGTCTGTAAGCAGAGAGAATACGAGGCATCAGCATTACATATGAAACAAAAGAATGCATAAACAGTAGAGCGTCGTCGTCAAAGTGCTCGTGAGCATCGCGGTTCTCTTCGGACCACTGCTGCAAGGATTGCTGCTCCCGCTAAAGCAGCCCTTCTTTTGTTTGATCCCGACGCCTTGATCTTCGAGAACGAACGTGGAGTTCGCACGGTCGCTGCTGAACAAGACGCACCAGAAGAAGGGGCCCTTATGAGCTCTGACTAAGCCGACCCCGACCTCCGTGTGCGACTTGTTTCTCAGGAGAGAGAGGCTCGTGTTGTCTTTCACGAGAACCTGTGAGAAGGCCAGTGACGGCTCGAGGTACTTGGAATGACAACCCACGATTTGGCCAGTTAAGGTACCCAAAGTCGGTAGCTCGACGCCGCAATTCGGAGCGAAAATCTCGGTGAAGTCGTCTTCCGGTACTTTGCAGTGTGGAATGTTGTTAGTGCAGTTTCCCTTGCATAGCTCGATGTATTGCAAGGCCATGCACCCTATACCCGGGCTGTCGTTCAGCGCTGGAAGCTTGAGGGCCGTCCTGTTCTTGTTCATCATGTCCACAAGATCGTTCGCCGGGTTTCCTGCAAGGATCTCCACCTTTAGAAAACTGAGGAAGATGTATAAAAAAGCTCGATAATATAAAAGTCCATTGTCTATCTTCCAGTGTACTCGTTCATTTTGCTAGAGCGGCATAAGGACTTCCGGTATCGCCTGCACAATCACCCAACTTCAAACCTTATCCAGCTTTTGTTTTTCGTTTGGCGAAATCCTGAACAAAATCAATACACTGAATATCTCTTTCCCTTCTTTTATACTTCTTTAAAGTACCTGGCATTGCCTGATTCGATCAGTAGTTGCAAATTGTCTAATAGACAATGTCTATACTAAGCCACTCACAGACACCAATGGCCTCCAGATTTTCAGAAACACACATACATGTTTCTCGGAGATGATTGGAATTACATGTGCTAACATGCGTGTGATGAAGTAGATAGAAGGAAGTCTTGACTACTTACAGAAGAAGAGATGCTTTCAAACTGTGTCATGCATTTAGACTGATGCAGAGATCTAGAACGCTGTTCTTAGTTTTCTCAAAGCTAGACATGTTAGGGATGAGCAATTTTAACAATTGCCGAAGTGAACTCTATTAAATAACTAATCTGAGACTGAGCATACAATCTAATCAACGATGTCCATCTGAAACACTATAGATACAGTTTTAGCAATGCTCTGGTCAGCCGTCGAATATTTATCTTATCATTGATCCCCACTCCTCATTCAGGTACTAATGCCCTGAACTAGTCGCGGCGCTCATGAACCTCGGTAGCTTCTCGTCAAATGTCAGATTCCTCTACTTAATTCTTTGCCAAACGGCTAATGTTGTGAAAATAACAGAAAGCAAATAGGAAATGGTTTCGATGTCCAAGTGCTTTCGGGGGAAAAAAACTTGGGAAGTTCCACTTTCTGAAAATGGAGGCAAGCCTCAAGAGTTCGCCTGCATACGACAACAAAAATCCTTGTTGACTTGAGCAGCCTAACATTTAAGGATCATGTTCTCTTATCTTTAAGCAGAGAAGATGAACCATTAATCGACATGCTAAATAATCACGGCACGATTGCTTTTGGGATGAATAGAAATCATATGACCCCTGAAGCCACTTTCAACTGGTCTCAGACGCTTCATCTGATGCAACTGGGGATATAGATTATGGAGTTGTGAGGTAGGTTGTCCATCCATGGCGGTGAACTTCACAGGTCATTGTTTACGAGAATGAATCTCTCCACCAGCGAAGAAAATAAGTGCGGACACTATATAAGCCAATTAAAGCAACTCCATCTCTTCAGACATGGCGCATTCATCTACGCAACGCCAAAACGCCAAGGACACTCGACTCGATTATGTTCACTCTCCCAGTTCATGCTACAGTCCTCTACACCCGGTTTCCATAAGATCAACTAAACGAAAGGTCGGTTGCAGTCCCAGAAAAGGCCCCCTGAACTCGCGGCCAGCAACTCCCAATAGCGAAGCCGCTCTCCGCTGCCAACAACAGTATATAGATAGTGCCAGCACAAGGCTACTTGTCGAAGCATCCTCACGGTTTAATTTTCGGTCGCGAGGATTTATTTCCATTCCTTCCGCGACGAGAAGCACATTTCTACTCTCCATTTCTCGCATACGCTGCGCGCCGGTGCGGACACACCAGCGCTGTATCGCCTTAGATGGCGGAAATCTAAGATATCGAAGTTTACCTAGCAATTGACAAAACAGGTGCCCACTTTTCTTCCTGGGAAAAACCCACCAATCGCTTTGGTCTCATGTCTCCAAAGATAACACTATCGAGATACTTACCCTTTTACTTCCTCCCAATAACCGGTGAGCGCTAGCTTATTTAAAGCGCATTCGTTCGCCATCTTGTTTCCCCCCCCCGAACGGCGCGCAATCCACTCCACACCCTCTTCACAATCACACCAGTACAAAGCAACGGAGGCAAATTCACCCGAGCATCGAGAACCCCGATCGGCCGATACGCAGAGTCGAAACAAAGAACGAACGAACGCCGCGACAGAATCCATCAAACGTGCCCAAAGTAACAAAGCGTGGGAGGGGGGGAGGGAGCTCACCGTGATTCTTGGAGCGGACCAGAGCCGCGGCGAGCAGCGAATGACAAAGCACGGCCCACACGCCCGCGCCGCGACTCGGCTTCGTCGCCATTTGCCGCCCCAAAACCCGCCCCATCAAAACAGAGGAACGCGGAAACGGCCCCCCCTTTTACTCGAGAAGAAGGCTGGGGTCTGTGAAGCGGAGACGATGCAGGGAGGAGGGGGGCGACGACGACAAAGGTGAAGAGAGTGGAGACCCTCAGAGCTCTAGAGGAGAGAATATGCAAAAGAAACAGAGCGATAGGCTGAGGATTTTGATTTTAGGGGTTTTGTTTAACACGGGATTGGCATTACAGGACATGAGGAGCGCATGATTGATTTGAGTTTTTCTTTGGGTTGCAGAAGAGAGTGTACCCAAAAAGGCGGAGGGAAGGTGGTGGTGGTCCCTAGTAGCCGTTAACAGGGAAAGCGTGGGACGCTTTTTTGTCCCGAAAGGAAAGGAAATTTGGAGCGAATTCCGAGGTTTGAAAATTGCCCCCGGGTGGGGCCCCCACGACGACAGGACCAGGGCCAGGGCCAGGGCCAGAACATTTCATCATTCCGTTCGCTGCAAAAGGTGATCCCGATGTTGGAGGGGCGATGCCGTGTCCCTTCCACCGGGGATGATCGGTTTCCGGTCCGATCCGATTTCAAGGTGGAACCGGATCGAGAGAACCGGTTCTCAATTTTGGGAACCGCGTATCGAACCGGTTGGTTCTAGGACTAGGAACCGGACTGGACCGCTAGTCCAATCCGGTTCTGGTCCGGTTCAATAGAACCTGTTACTTAGAGTTTAGTTTTTTTTTTTTGGTTAAATACTTAAGGTTTGGTTCACATTTTACTAATTTTTATCAATGAATTTATGTTAATAAAGTTCACTTAGGGTTTAATTCACATTTTACTAATTTTTATCAATGAATTTATGATAATGAAGTTCACTTAGAATTTAGTTCACATTTTATTAATTTTTTTAAAGAAAAAAATAATAAAATATATATATTAAATAGTCGGTCTGGTCCGGTCGGTCCGGTTCCCCCCTGGAACCGGGAACCGGACCGCCCGGAAACCGGTTCCGCTTTTAGGAAACGGGAACCGGACCGATAGTCCCGAGAACAGGACCAAACCCATCGGTCCGGTCCGGTCCCGGTTTGGGCGGTCCAAGTTGCTCACCCCTACCTCTCACGTTTCGAAAATGAAATATTTTTCTTATTTGAAGCATGTTAAGTACAGATAATCTGAACGTAAAAACTCAATTTTCTTTCTCCTTTTAGGATAAACGAAACGACAAGTTATAACCGTGGCTTTTTCCTACTTTCATTATATGAACGATAGAACCACGCCTCCCGTTATATTATGAATGATTGGTTTAATTTTGTTTGGGAAACTTGGGATGATGTGAATACTGGAAATGTGGGTGGAAAATTATGAAAATTTTAGAATCATCGTGAGTATGAAAATGGGCAAAAAACTAAAAATTACTAGATTCCATGCCGTGCAAGTAAAAATCGTGGCTATTCGCAGGCGTAAAATTTTCGATGTAATACGATGGGAAGTAATATGGCGTTCACGAATTGAATGGATTGGTCTAATTTGACATGGAACAGTGCTAATTGAAAACACGACAATCTACGCATCTATACTCACGTTAGTATTTTGGAATCAAGTTGTAGGGGATCCCTAGTGAAGTGAAGAAACGAAGGAGAAGGATCCCTTGGAAAGAGCATCTCTTCCCATCTCGTTGAGCTTCTATTTGGCGTATGTGCATGACGTTTACGATTTGAAGCCATCATCAAGGGTCATTGCTTGTTTCGGGTTTTGCTACTCCGTACGTTCGATTTGGGTCGAGATTTCTTCCAGCAAAATGTCGTTCCTGGATAGAATAGAGCCCAAACGGAACATAAACCATGAACGTCGCGAAAGCCGCCCTCAATCATCTATAACCGGTGTACCGAAGGAAAAAACCATTAAAAAAAACCATTACGGTCGAACGGTCCTGGAATGTCGGCACTTCATCTCTCTCTCCCTCCCTCTCTGAAGGAAAAAACCATTAAAAAAAAAAAACTCATCTACCTAAGCATACACATTCACATTACTGTCGAAAAAGTAGCCAAAGCGGAACATATTAAAACAACACTAGCAAATTTCAGAGTAACTTGACCAACTTCGGAGTATGGAGATCCGAGCGAAAAGGTCAAAAGTAGTCCATGTCTCATCGTTCCCCACCTCTATCGCTAGCATGTGTTCCTCTTGCATTTTTCTACAACAATTCAACCAACATGGGAGTGATGACTTCATGTCTAACCGAAGGTAATGGTACGTATCGACTCATCCATCGTTGCTCGAGAGTGAGATAAAAATGGAACTCTAAAGGTAACAATGAAACCATGTTGAATTCACTAAGAGTACAATAATGCATCCTTGGTTTTCGTATCCACAATCCCGAGGCGAAAAAACCTAATTCTTCTCAAAGTGGTTTTTTTTCTAGCCAAAATAAGAGAGAGCTAACCCCAGGAGGGCTCAGTCATCCTAAACTTTTTGACACAAAGGAGTGAAAATCTCGATTGCAAGCATCATGTCAACTCACTGTTATTGTAATAGTGGATGCGGAAGGTCCGAGGTTTGATGCGGCTCATCTCATGAGACGTGATGAGCAGCTTCAAAACTTGAACCTTAAGCAGCATCATACTTAAAGAGTCCCGTATCTCCTCTTACCACATATTTTTAAGTGGTTTAAGATGGCGGATCCTCAAAACTTCATAAGCACACAACCCTACTTGATGAAAGAACACCAGCACGCAGCATTTGGGCACAATCTAAAATGAAAACACCATTAATATAACACATTCACAAACAGAAAAGAGAACCCAAACAATAAAACACATGCAAAGCCATTTAAATCTTATCTTTTTAGATTCGAGCCCTCCAACTCCGGTCAGTTAGTTTTACAGCCAGGTCAAAGAATCCAAGAATAGACACAGAAACAAGAACGCCGTGCAAAATGGGCTCCTCGTTAGGCTGTGTTAACCACACCGATCCAGCAGTTATGCTCAGCTGATGGGAAAGCTATGCAAATAACAGAAAAAGAAAATCTAACATTATGCAAGGACATTCGCATGCAAATTGGTTAAAAGGAAAATAAAAACCAATCTAAAATTGCTAGTGAAGACAAATGATTAAGTTATTCATCATCATCTATGTCCAGTGAAAGATTGAAAGTTTGCACAAAGGCAAACGGATTTTGGTTTTTTGGTGGCCAATCTTTTATCACAAAAGTTGAGATTATTTTCCATCCTCTACTTCACCTTCAAAAACAAAGCACGCGAAGAGGAAGCTGAGCAGCTCATTGTCTACACAATACAGGATAGTCAAAAGATGCATTAGCTCGAATTAACCAGCCATAGGATGGTTGTGGATGTACTCAATAGCAAGACGACAGGAGTCTATTTTATCAGCTTCCAAATCCGGGATTTCGAGCTTAAATTCTTCTTCCAGTGCCATTACAATCTCGACGTTGTCCAAGCTATCTAGACCCAAATCATTTTGGAAATGAACATCAGGAGTCACCTGCAAAAACAGAGAGAAACCCATCATGAAATCGTTGCCAATTTGCAATGTCATTCTTTCATTAATCATCAAACAAGATTGGAAGAACTCGAAGTTCTACATACAGCCAACACTTCTTTTCTCGTACAAGATTTTCCATTTACACTTCAGCACCCTTTTGGTGCCCCAAAACAACAGCTTTGTGTGGAGAAAGGGATGATACCAATCAAGCACAAAACCTCTTTAACAAGAGGAAACAAATGAGAAACTTCACCTTTATAGTGTGCTCGAACTCCACCGTCAGTGAGTGAGATATATGAGGAAGCAAATATATTGATAATACAGAAACTGACCAAGCACTCAAGGAAATGAGAAAACATGAACATAAAGAAATGACGAGGGGAAAAGAAAGAGATAGATAATGAAAACATATCCTCAGCAGCAGTACATGACAATTGAAAGATGAAAATCAACTAACATTCACCAGAAATAGAGTTATGACAAAAGAAATTAGAAAGTCGATTGCAACTGAATCAATCAAAGGCTCTTTAAATTCCATGTGTAAATCCTTTTCAGAAATTAATTAAACAAACTTCAGAATCTGATGGCAAAAAGCGGATCTTTGCATTTTCAGTGGAACTCCAACATCTTTAAAGTAGCAAATCACACATATTTCCCTTGGAAATACAAATGATTATCTATCAGATCTGATCTTATTCAAAATTCCATAAGCATCCATCTGTACTGATGCAGTTTAAAGGACATCCAGTCCAACACGTTACATAGATGATATTAGGTTCTTTTCTCTTCCTCATTTTAGTTCTTTCTGTAGTTTCTCTTGTATACTGTGTGTAAGTACGAAAATATATTTGACTTTACTGATAGATCTTATATAAAAAAGGAGGGCAATTTTAACAAAATGCCATCTCCAAGGAACAGGAAAAACAGGTGATCTTTTCAATTGCTGGACAGTCGATATAATTAAGGCTGAGTCATTAATGTCCAACGCGACAAGGACCTCTGGGACTTTGATAAAAGCATCAAAAACAAAGAAGCAACTTATGCTGCTGGTCTTTAACGCAGAGATTCTTGACGCTACTGTTATCATGGATGAGAAAATCAGCACCAAAAGAAAGGAGGATAGCTGTAGAAGTATTGGAAGGGGAAGCACTCGGTCCCTCTTCAGTTTGAAGGCACAAACACAGAGAAAATCTAACTTCAGATCTCAAAATATTAGCCAGAAGCGCCAAGTATGCTTAACATGAGATCGAAGATGCTATAAACATAATCACGACAGATCTGTCTGTTTCTGCTTGTTTACCTAAGACATGGGGTATTAATAAGGGGCACATCACTTCCATATTTGCAATAAACTTCAGTACTGGTGGCAATTGCCAAGAAAGCTTATCATCAGGCAAAAGAATTGCTTGGTTGGGTTTGCATTGGGGACAAGGAGAGCCTTTGAAGAAGTGAGGCAAGATAACTTATGCAAGAAACCAGGTCCAATGGTCAACATTTTTTAGGGTTGCCATAGATGTCATAGTTGCAAGAGCTTACACTATGTGGGAAGAGGTTTGGCTGTATTGCCTCTTTATTGTATTATAAGAGGTAATCCTCGAGGAACAAAAAGCATATTGAACATTATAAAAGCAAAAAAAAAAAAAAAAGCATAGAAAGGCTCTAAGGCAATGTGAAGTTGTGAACACGTACCAAGAAACCAGATGAACATCCTATTAATTAAATTTATAATACCTGAAATGACAATTCATTTTAAAACAGCAACAAATTTGACAGATGGTAATGCAGTGCAACTAGCCATAGGTTCTCACAGAGCACAATACCCTGCTAATGTCTCGTCAGCTGTCTTGCAATCGAGATGCACGAAAAGGAAAGTTTCTAATGCAAGTTTCCGAGATGGGACTTGGATTTTTTAGGGGGGATATCAAAGGCAGATTGCATAAACTCACTATCTTATGGCCCCCTTCTCTTTTGAAGGTTATCTGAGATAAGGAGCCTTATCATGTTGATCCCCAACAAAGCAAAACGACCTAAGGAATAAATCGATTGAGAATCTCTTTAAAGAAAATGTATTTAAGTCAATAGGTTTCACAAGCATACAGCCATCCAATCAAATCTAATGTATTTGATTTGTCTAATTTGGTGTTCCAGTATAATTAATCAAGAGGCATGGAAAAGCTTCACTTTCCATCAATCTATCACAGACCATGTCCTTCATGACTTCTCTCTGTCTAGCAAGAGGAAACATCCAACAATTGGGTCTGAAAGGAGCATTCCAACACCTCAATTCATGCCAATTAAGTGGCATTGCCTTCTCCTAGATGACGTCACACTGTACACCACCCCTCCCTCCATTCTCCCTCCTTCTAAACGCACCCAAGAGAAAGAAAAATTAGGGCTAAAGAGCATTGACAATTTCTCTCGAAGCTCTCTGCTGCATCATGCAACTGTTCTGAACTTTCATTTCACGTGCTACCCCTCTCTTTCCAAAGAGACAAAGAGGATGAAAATAATCCTATTTTGTGGAAACAATTCCCACATTTAGTTATGCAATTAGCTCTGCGAGCATACCCAGACTTTGTCACCACGAGGCTAGCTTCTAGAGCTAGCTTACCCTAGGATAGTATCGAGCAGGATCAGAGTCGGGTGATGCTTACCGACTCCCAAAATGCTACAAAGGAAACAAGCTACCCTCACAGGACTTTGGAGACAAGATCAATAATCAAGCTTCGGCGAAAAAGCTACTGGTAGAAGCTGATGAAGGATCACATGAGGGAAGCTTGTCAATAAAAAAACCCAATTCTTTCCTCCAAATTGCTTTTCTGGGAAATTACTTCTTCAGTTCTTTGGTGAAAACTTTCTTTCTCCCTGAGTGATATATCTCAAAAGCAATTTGAATGAACGAAATGACGTCCTCACCTACAATTCACACACAAAGCAAAACGAAAACACCAAAGACACGGCAGACTTTTCAAATTCGCCACGAAAATGGTAAAATCACGATCCCCCAGAATTCCATCAACATTCTAGTTATCTACCGAGACGGCAATGAGAACGCAAATTGCAGCTCCTCTGAGCTAAGGAAACGCGACTGCCCGCTAGAGAATTGGAACCTTAGCTTCACCGAGATCGAGAGAACCAAAAAAAAAGAATAACGCCACAGCATTCGCCCGCAGCATCTTACGCATCAGAAAGGCAATGCGAATCCCGCCAGCCAACCTCTTAAGTATCACCCAGGCCAAAATAGCCCATCGAACAGTCGTCTCATCACTTCCCTCACTCCAATCCAGCAACGACGCGCCATCAATTCAACCGTTAAAGCGAAAGAAAGCTAACTACGCAAATCGATACACGTCCCCCACAACCTAATCGCTACGGGAGAAATCGAGCCAGTTCGGGAGGGGAAAAAACCAGGGAACGGAAAAGCTGACCGTGGCGGGATCGACTTTGGGGAAGCTCTTGACGACGGAGAGGACCCTCTCGACGACCTCCTCCTTGGTGAGGTGGTCGTCGCCGTGCGACGACATGGAGCGCGACGCGGAGCTCCCGAGGAGGCCCCGTGGCAGCGATCTCGGAACGGCTAGGGTTCGGGCCGTCGCCGGGAGGCGGATGTGGCGGAGGATCGCGGCTCTCATCGCCATCTCTCTCTCTCGATCTCTCTCTCTGTGACGGCGGCAGCGGCGGAAGGAGTAGGAGGTTGGAGAGTGTATGCAGCAGCAGCAGCAGCAGCAGCAGAAAAAAATAAATAAATAAAATCGAAAAATGATTTTTTTTTTCTTTAAAGGAAATACACGAAGCGGACATTATGATAATTTTCTTTAGGAGAAAATGATACAAACAGTTTCTAAACTTTGACTCAATATGTAACGTGATTTCTGAATTTTAATTCAATATTTAATATAATTCCTGAACTTTTACTTTATTCAATGTGATTCCCGAATTTTTGGTACATGCTAGATTGAACATGTACAAAAAGTTTGGAGATCATATTGAACAAATTAAAAGTTCAGGAACCGCATTTCACATTGAGCTAAAATTCAATTACCACATCGAATAAATTAAAAGTTCAGAAACCATATTTTCTATTGGGCCAAATTTATAGATTATTTGTGTCATTTTCACAAAATCAAATGAATCGAATAACTTTTCCTTACTTGAGTGAATTTTTAACTCGATTAAATATTTTAAACCTGAAAAAGCGAGATTTATCCAACAGATTAAAAATTGGAAATTTATCTTTTTAACAAAAGGAAAAGGTTAGGTCCACAGTTAGTTTAAGAAAAATTAAACATTTATGATTGGATGGTTATCATATATGTTTGGAGTTAGCTTTGCAATCGAATTCTTGCACATGCCATCCATTTTTTAGCATGTAAATCATTTCTTACACATGCATTGGTCCTAACAAAAATCCTTAATAAAATTTAGCAAACTTTTCTATAATAACGAGTTTTTGGGTAAAAGACTCGATTAAGGTTATGCTTGTTTGGCACTGAGCAAAAGAAAAAATAAAGCGTAATTTATTACTTTCCTGCCAAAATTCAAAATATTATTTGGATTTCCATAAATTATGAAATACATGAATCTCCGCATCAACAATTAGATCTTGTGAAAGTTTCCGGCCTCACAAATTTAGAAAAAAGTTTGTGAACTTTATGACTTTTGATTAAGTAAAAAGTAAGGAAGTATTTATTTATCTAATTAGATGTCAAACTTTGTGAGTCAAAATATTGTGATTAAACAAAAGAGTTAAATGCTCTTAATTTGTTCCGTATGGAAGGGGCTAGTTATTTATTTAATTAGTTATTTGATCCGCGCTATGCCTGTGTTATTTCTATATATTTTTCAAGATAGAAAGACACTCTATTTTAATAAGTTGGCGAAGCATAAACGGAAAAAAGCTAATTTTGAATAATATTATTATGTATTGATCTAAATTATTGCGAAAAGTTACGGTTTTGATCTGTTTATAGATATCTATTAAAACCTTCTGCCTCTAAACAAAGAGTTGTCGGTTGTGACGGGTTAATTCTTTTCTTGATTATTTAATTTTTCTGGTAATATCAATCATAAATTTTAAATTCTTAAGTGTACTTATAAATTAATTTATTTGGATATATTCTTTGTTAAATAGCTTGAAGGAAAACAACCTTATAATGTGAATTCAGAAATAGGAAATCGAATTTGTAAAACTACGAAGAAATTATCTCTAAAAAGCCTACGTTTAATTAATTCCTATTCATTGTAAATTTACATCAAGTGGATTGGGAAACTGTGAAATAGCACATCGTTGTATTTTGAATAAGACGTGTCATTTAAGTTACACGAATTTCTTTATTCAGTTTAATTGACTCGAAATATACTATACTTTTAATTATTAATTTATTTGGATTATATTTGTAAGATATCATTCTATATATTTCTCATAATCATTTTTATTTTAACTAAGTTAATCTATTTATTTAGCAAAATTCGTTTGCCTATTCGAATAAGATAGACTTCAAGCTATAAGTAATGTACGTAAAATTTCATATGTATTATTCACATAACATAAACATAAACTATTCAAGGCATAACCGTATTATCAAAAGTTATGTTCAAATAGCGTATATAGTATTTAGATCAAAATAAAGTATTGACGCGCAAAGGGAAGTGACAAGTGACGAGTATAGCCATAAATATTCTCTCGACTCAGGCTCTAACTCTTTATAATATATTAATTAAGTATATTTATTTGAATGAAATCAATTAGTGTAATCTCTATCATGAGGTCACACTAAGTTAGAAGGGAGAATTTTGTCATGGTCGGTTGCATTGAAAACTTTATTGCGAGATAGGTATTTTTTTTAAGCGGTGAGGCGATGTCCGGCGAGTTTTCATGCACCTTTGCTCGGTTCACCTCCCCGGAGCAGCATACTCCCCCCACATTGGGGTAGTGCATTCGAGATTCTACTCATTACCGCAATGAAGGAAGCAAATTCTCTTACCATGTGAGTAGACCCGTTAAACATGTGGGTTCGATCGGGTCGAAAATTGTTCAACCCAAATAAATTCAATTTAACTTGTTTTTGACCTAATTCATGCAATACAAATTTAGTGACCTATACACGATTTAATCATGCCCAACACATACTTGATCATATTTATATCGCTAAACCACTTCCATATTTAATCAAATTTAGGAAAACTCATACTTAAACCGCGGTAAGAATGCGGAGTGAGCATGAGATCGAATGAGGGCGAGAGAGAACAAAGAAAAAGTCTTAGAAGCGGGTTTGGGTCTAAGTAATTTGTAAATCCATTCGTCGTCTATTTATAATCCATTTAATTACTCATATTATGTTTAAATCCATTTATAACTAACCCATACAACAACTCAATTCATCATATATGGAGTCAAGAGATTGTTCTACGACCCATTTTGACGGGTTTACATGTAAATCAAAACCTCAATGATCGAGATAGATGTGGTAGTCGATAAGCATAACCATCAAATGTTATCTCAACTTCGATTTTAACCGGTAGTCGTAAACGGCTGACAAGTCATTCCAGCTGTCGTCAAGCTAATCTTAGACTTCCTAAATTAGCGAAAGAGCAAGCGAAATTTTCCAAAGTTCAGGGGCAGCGAGCGCAATTCTCCGAAAGTCGAGGGGCATGGATTGCAATTTCCCAGAAATCCTGTGAAGAAACAGTAAAAAGTTGAATAGCATCGCGAGGTCCCGCTAAAGGAAATCAGACGCCTCTTCGCCCGACGTTACACGGGCGTCGAGATTACGCCGTCGCCGACCGAGCTCGCCACCGCCGCCACCGCCGCCGCCGCCAGCCCTCGGTGTTCATCGCCAAGTCCAGCTCCCGCGGGAGGTAAGAGCATCGTCTTCATTCCCCCTTTCGCGTTTCTCTGCTCCTTGCTTCCGCCCGGCGGTGCCCGAAACGTGGAGAGTTCAACGGTCCGCGACGCTTCCGGCGCTTGCTTGAGCGCTTTCGACGCGAACGCACCGTCCGTTTGTTGGGTTTTTCGGGATCCCGTTGGCCGAATTCGATTCGGGTTTTCATTTGTCCGATGTGGTTTTGCTTCTCGTGGATGGAAATTGGTGCGTAGGGTCGTCTTCGGAGCGGGGAATGAACCTTAGCTACGTTTGATGATGTGGTCGAAAGGAAGAGTTTTGGACTGAGTACCGGGGGTTTTTCTAGTTCGCACGTAGAAAGGAACTGAAGGGAATGTGTTCTTGCGTGGGTTTATCTCGAGGAACTTGCATTGTTTTCTTCTCTGTGAAGCTCGTACTTTTCTCTTTCAAGCGATGTAGAGCCCTCCTACCTCCCCCAAACAAAACAAAAAGAAAAGGGTGATGTAGAGCAAAAGTCTCAACCTAAAATTGTAACAAAGCCTTTCAAATATGATCGGGCATGGTGCTAAATACATATCTTCAGGCTATAGGCTTGCTGCGAGAATGAATGATGAATGATGAATTAACCGTTGAGAGCAATCCCGAGGTGAAACTCGCAACGAATTCTTGCCGGTCAAAACTTACTGAAACCAGGAATTTGGTGTCTGCTAAGGTTTGATGCGAGAGGTGGAGTAGGGTTGTTTTTGGAGGTCACGGTCTCAAAGTGAGGGGAATCAGGTTAAGCTTTGTATGATAATGGAGGATCTGTGTTCAGCTCTTTGTAGAAGGCCGTGCTGAGGAGACACTTTAATTACATTTTTGAAGGAAGAGAAATAAAAATCAGGTTAAGCTTTGTATGATAATGGAGGATCTGTGTTCAGCTCTTTGTAGAAGACCGTGCTGAGGATACACTTTAATTACATTTTTGAAGGAAGAGAAATAAAAATCAACTAACGGTCCGGTAATTAGAAGTCTTGTGCAATTTGGTCTTAGGCCCTTTCATCAGGATTCCTCTAGCGGATTTGATAAGCTAAAGCAGTGAAATATATTGTTAATAGTCCTCATGAGGTTATGGTCCCCTAGTACATTACCAGATTGGAGAGCAAAATAATTTTTGTAAATAATACTGTAAGATTCGGTTGAAGCTAGTTTGTGTAAATTTATCGAGCCCAATTTAATTGTGCACTGCTTTCTCCTTTAGTGTATTTGCCTGTGATTATGAAACTTTTTTAAGCAATTATGCGTCTTTTTTACTATTGGTCCCGAGTCTAAAGATTGAGAATTATAGAAGTTTACACCCATTAGAAGCGGTTTGAACTGTGAACTGTTAGTATTATAGACCTTTTCTTTTTTTCTTTTTTATCCTTACAGAATCGATGGAATTTTCTGCAAGTATGCAGAGTGCATTTTCAACAGCAGAAGTCACTGGTGCAGGATATTCAAAAATTGGAGGTACTAAGTGCGAATACAGTGACTTTTAAAGAAGCTTAGGTCAAGTTTACCACGGAAAATACAGTGTAAAGGCATACTGTCACTAACTATCCCAGAGTCTCTTTAAGCGTCTCATTTCTACTAATAGATATCACAGGGCATGACAGTTCTTTTGTCATGCAGATGAAGATTAGCTCATGCATGGTCAATGATCAGTTTCCGAAAAAACGAAAGAAAATCGATTCTGGAAACTGGAAATTAGTGTTCTGTGTGCTCTTCGTAAATCATGTGATTTCTAAAAGTGTTTCTGAGATTCATTTTTGTAAAAAAATCAAGGGTATATGTATGAGTGCATAAATATTTTTAAAAAAACTGATTTTCCCTTTTAAGATAAATCTATTGGGCTTGAATGCATGTTGACTGTTCATATTTTACCGACATTTCTGTTGACATCTTCACAGTCTTCACCGCACTTTTTGACGTTTGCATTTTCCCCAAGGTTATTTATACATTTTAGCGGAGAATCTTTCATCCCCTCACCTATGGCATTTATCACATTCACAAAAATTGCATTTCCGTATAAAAGCCTCCATAATCTGTTATAGTTTCTACACCAATCCTGAAATTACCATCAACAAGTCTCTCTGATCATGTGAACTATGGGAAAATTTTGTCAACGTGATCAAGAATACATGAAATGGTAACGTTGAATCGGCTTCTAAATTCAAGATTCATGAACTATGGGCAGTCATTTCCTTCAGTGGATTCAATTAAATGAATCGATTTCAAGAATACAGTTTCATCTAGTTGCTTGGAATTTCCTCTCAAAAGTTCTATGGGCTTCTTGGTGTTTTCCATGAAGGCAGTCCCCAAATATTGTTGATTGACTTCCTTTTACAGTATTAGTATACATAATATTCCATGGACTATATATAGTGCACATTATCATAGGCTGCTGCAAAAATTCCAATGCGTCATTCAAGATCACAGATTTCCGTTTGTACTTTATGCACAATTTTATCCACTCGGGGATTATGTGATTATAAATTTTGTTTTTCTGGCTAACTAGTGGGATATCTTGTACTTTAGATTGTAGTGAGATCTACATCTAGATCTCCTGTATGTTCAATCTTCATTTTTCTGGAGAAGGCAAATGATATTTTTACGTTATGAATACTGCATCAAGTAAGACGTTTGCGTCATTTCTTCACTAATGTATATAATAAGTGTAATTGTTTGTTGTCAGATCACGAGGAATCAATCATGAGCGATGATGGACCACTCGCTAATGAATTACATTTATTGAAGCTTGGACGCTGGCAGTGGTGGATTTTAGTCGTCGGTAATATTTTCTTCCTCATAGCAGGACAAGCTGCTGCTGTTCTTCTTGGAAGATTTTATTATGACCAGGGTGGAAATAGTAAGTGGTTGGCGACACTTGTTCAGACGGCTGGTTTTCCGATCCTATTCATCCCATTATACCTTATGCCATCATCACAGGAGGCTTCAGTTTCTCCTAGTGCACCTTCTTTCAGAATTCTCGCTTCGGTCTACTTCTTCCTAGGAGTGCTCTTAGCTGGTGATAACATGTTATATTCCACAGGCCTATTATACCTCACCGCCTCTACATACTCCCTTATCTGTGCTTCCCAGTTGGCATTCAATGCAGTTTTCTCATATTATTTGAACTCACAGAAGTTTACTGCGCTCATTCTGAACTCTGTGGTTGTTCTTACCTTATCTACTGCCCTCGTTGCTGTCAATGATGATTCGGAAGGACCAGCTGGAGTTTCTAAGGGGAAGTATATCCTTGGCTTCTTATGCACCCTTGGAGCTTCTGCACTCTACTCTCTTTTGCTTTCCCTCATGCAACTCTCTTTCCAGAAGGTCCTTAAGAAGGAAACGTTCTCTGTAGTTTTGGAGATGCAAATATATACATGCCTTGTTGCTACTTGTGTTTCTGCTGTGGGTCTGTTTGCGAGTGGCGAATGGAAGACCCTGCATGGAGAGATGGAGAGTTTTGGAGAGGGAAGAGCTTCTTATGTGCTTACTGTGGTTTTCACAGCCGTGTGTTGGCAGGTCTGTTCAGTGGGCGTTGTGGGATTGATATTCATCGTGTCTTCTCTGTTTTCCAATGTCATCAGTACTGTTGGTTTGGTCGTTACTCCGATTGCTTCAGTGATGGTCTTTCACGACAAGATGAACGGTGTCAAGGTGGTTGCCATGCTTCTGGCTCTTTGGGGTTTCGCATCATACATATATCAAAACTATCTCGATGATTCTAAAGCAAGGAGAATGCTGTTGGAAGTGGACGAAACTCGTAATGATTCTGTCTGCTGATCTTCCTGTTGATTGAATTTGTAAATAACTCTTTCGTGTATTGGATGGATCCTCATTACTAGTTGTCAGTTGTGGTTAGCAACCTTCTTAGTTTCGAGCATTTTGTCTGCAGAAATAATGATCTGCAGCCATTTTGAAATTCATGATGAGCTCTCATTATGTAATTCTGCTATTGTCTGCACTTCACAGTGGGCTCTCTTTCCTCTTGGCAAGATTGCCCAGTTATATTAACTTTAGTGACCTTATAAGAAATGAAAACAATTTGTTGCCATCGACATGGGTTGGCGTCATTAGATTATGACTCTTACAGGGTTCCTTCCTTTTGCTGTGGAGTATCTAGTTGAAGTGCTGCCTTTTATAATGTATACTGGGATAGCTATTATGCATTGAAGTGGCCGTTGGAATGTTTTATGTCTCTCGAAAGCAGAATCATATATATGCTTATTTCGGTTGTGAAAGAGATGGTTGTTGTTCTGATGAAGCTCTAGGTTCTGTATCTATTCAGGTTATTCTTAGTGAAGACCCCTTTAATAACCATGTGGTTATTTGTAGTCCAATTACCATTCTAGTGGAAAACTGATGGTTGGGGGACTGAAGAACAGACATGGTGATCCAAGATGGGCAAGCATCGGCTTACCGGCAGATCGATCACCTACGTTCGGTTCTTACTTCATATGTTTTTGCTTCTGCAGAAATTTTGATGTGGGCTCTTGCTATGAAGGTGTAATTTTGAGTAGAGATTCTGTGTCGTTTCATCGTTTGATTACTGACCGTTTGTGTATGGAAATGTGTGTGACGATTGTTCACTGACAAAAAGGCAATTCAAGATGCATGGAAGCCGTCTCGGATGATCGTCGAACTCTTTCGGAGTCTCGCACATCTGAGTTTGACAAGATCTCTGTTCTGAACTGATGAGCACATAGTACCATATCCAATCTTAATGAAAGTTGGACGAAGCCAAGACTCATGGAAAGACTGCAAAACAATTGATGAAGGGGAGGACATATGGAGCTTGGAAAGTCTGTGCAACCTCACGATTCAATCTACGCTCAATGCGATCATTTGGATCAAGTCACGAGAAAGAAATTCCTTTGGACTTACTACTGTCCTAACTTGGATGGCGTGCCTTCGATCGGATCAGAAAGGTTGACTTAGTACGGGGCGCACTAACGTTGGCCCACGACCCCGCATGATAGCAAAATGGAATTTTCCAACAAATTATTGGTGTGTCATTATGTCCGTCGTTGGATTGCTTCGGTGTTTTGGTGGAAAGGATTCCGAGTGGTTATCATTAATGATAGAAGTTGTAGCTACTGTTGGTTCACCCATGTTGCCATTAAAGATGGGTTTTTGGGACCAATGTTCAAGCAGCAAAGACTAGTGGCTGTCGTTGCTATCTTGTATAGGTTGCAAAGTTACGGATATGCTTCATGGGATTTTTCCTTGTCTATGATTTGAGGAGGTCATGACTTTCATGATTAGGTTTGAAATCTACTTGCAGTGCAAGATTTCCATCTTCAATGGTTATCAATTAAGAGCTGACAGCGCGAACAAGTTCCCACTTAAAACTGATCCGATGATTATGTTAATCCGGCGTCAAGAAACAGTGAGATTCATATCGAGTTTCACTGAAAATACGCGACGAGCACTGTATCGCACCGTCATCGATTCCGTTCACCGTATCATCCGCCGAACGAGTCCATCTAAATTCTCTTCTCGTCGCACCTCGACACGCCGCCGGCTTTCTGTTTACAAGGACCGACTCGCCCATCGGGCATTACCCCCCTCGCGTCGTGATTCGGGTACTCGTCCATTCACGGACATAAGTTCAATCTAGCACACGGGCGAAGGCTAAATCGATCACGGCACACACCCTTGTTTGAACTTCTGTGTCAAGCAGTCACGGATTCAACTCATGCCTTTTTCCCCATCTAGAATCATTGCAAGCGTGCTCAGGAGTCAGTAGTGAAAGGTGATAAAAAAAGATGGTGAGCCTCTCGACCCAACATGGGGCAACAAAAGAGGAAAACCACAAAACAAAAGTCAAACTTTTCGTTCACCTTCCAAAACGGAGGAGGTCATTATAAGCTTTGGGCAGCGTGGATTGCACTTACTTCGCACGGTGCATTTCTCTTTATAGCCAAGCAAAAAGGCCCAAAAAAAGAAAATCATTGCGCCTTCCGAATTCAACACACAACAGTGACTCTGGCCAATGAGTAATGTTGTCTTTTGACTTTTGATTCGTTCAATGCGATCTTTGAAGTGCTTCTAAATGCACAGCACGGTCCTTTCGGTTAGGAGTGTACAAAGGCAAAACTGCTCGGACCGTCGGGTGCCCGGACCGGACCGGCCAATTTCAGACAGTTCACGAGGAGCCGTCCCAGTTCCAGATTCTAATTTACTAGAAGCCAGGTGAGTACCGGTCCCGTCTCGGTTCTAGGCGTGAAACCGCCCACCCGCCCTCCGGACCGGACCGGTAATATATATACATATATATAATTTTTTAGGAAAATTTTGACCAACAAAAAAAAGAAAAAAACATGTTTAGAAAAATGAAAACCATAAAATCCATAATCTGTGGGAGGTTCCCGATTCCATGTCGGGAACCGCCCGCCCGGACCACACTTACCCCTACCTTTCGTTCGATCGAACAACGATGGAGGGAGTCGCCACGAGCCCCCGAACTGATGCGAAACGTGCGATTTGGCCTCCCGGGAATTTTCAATTTATTCAATGCAATCCACATCGGTCCTTCGATGTAACCCATTTTTCTTTTGGCTATTCAAGCGAGGAAGCCAGACATCGTGCACTAAAATCACACACCTACCCACTTAAATCTTTTCAACAAATATGGTGGTGGATGCTGTCTCATTTGCTTTATTTTATTTCTCGCATTATAATACCCACCGGAAGAAAAAAAAATTACAAAAAAAAATTCCGGTTCCCCGCCATTAAAACTCCCCCCCCCCGCTCTTAACCTCCCACCAACCCCTTTTTTAATTGTGGGTGGTGGTGGCGGTGGTGGGGCGGGGGACTGGCGGCACCGCCACTCCCAGCGGATCCGCCACCGGCGAGACGTGGCGGCGGCGCCGCGACGCGCCGCCGACTTAGGGGTAGGGGAAAAAGAGGAAAAAAAAATGATAATAATTCAAACGACCCACAAGATGAGGGCCGTGTGATGATGATGGTTTGAATGTTGTTCTTATTATTATTTTAGGGTTTCAAGGCTTACGCTATAAGGATGTGGTCCTGTCTTTCCCACCATAAAATTGATTCGGTGGGTTTAATATAAAATTATGGCATTAGCCACCACGAATTACATTTTTTTTTTTTTTGGGCACTCGCAAGAAGTTATTGTACCTAGAAAGTCAATGAAAAAATGGGTGGTTCACTCTTCGGGCTTTAGTTGCACAAAAAAATGTACCGAAAGTGCACAACACGCGGGATCAAATTAGGTGAAGGAAATCATCCGATCAGTCCTAAATTCACTGTACAAATGCCAATTTGGACCTAAATTTATCGATTTTTCCGATGTAGTCCAAAACTTTCGTTGCGAAATTCCCAATGCGGTCCTCCCGGTCAATTTCCGGCGGGGATCGCCGACGTGGCGGTTGTGTCACGTCGGACGGCCGGCGATGACCGGGTCGCCACGTCGGCTGTTTACGGCGGAAATCAGCCGGAAGGAATTGGAATTCCACCCGCAGGTTCAGGACTAAATTGACAAAATCGATGAGTTTATGACCGAACCAGTATCTGCACAATAGGTTTAGGATCGATCGGCTTAATTTTCCTCGAAACAAAAGAAGTTGTCCACAAACTTTGAAAGATATGGTAGCCGTGACACTTTACGTGGGATCGCTACCAATCATCTGCCAGTTCGACCTATCGAAAGCAAACGCGGCTTAGTATTTAATTACTCTGATAATAGCCGAGGGGCGCAATCATAAATTACAATCAAGCGAAGAAGGTTGGTTCATTGTCTCATTAGACTCCACAGGAACTCCCTAATCTCCTATGCTAAAGAGGGTGCATAGCGACCTAATCATTTCAAAATCGACAAGACACGTTTGTTTAGGATGGTCCAACAACCATGGCACGAAACATATGATTGGGACTTCAATTCCGCCTTAATTGCAGCATTAGTTGAGCATATTCTTCCTCCATATATCACCAAAATGCACCCTTCATTTTTTATTTTCTTTTGGCACATTGTATATCAAATGTATCGTAGCACTTTCAACTGGTGAAGAGAAAATCTCAACCGGCGAAGTTGACCCTCCGAGGGGCATGATGGTGATGGCAAGATCGCGTTTTGACAATACATTTCGTCATTCTACACGACCACACCACGACTCGAAAGAATGAGAGAATCTATGCTGCAAAATGGGAGAATCTCGTACGCTTTTTGTCTCTCGAGAAGAAACGACGAAAATGCTCCGAAAAAGTCGGAGCATACGCCGCCGGCGTAAAGCAAATTTCGCGTTGTTGGCATTTTCCGTCCTTAATTTGATGATTATAATTACCCGCTCGTTCGAATCAATGGCGTATGAGATCGCTCGCGCAAAGACGATTTTTCCGCCGAATGTCTCCTAGCGTTATAGTATAAGCGTGATGAAGTCAAGAAACTTGTTACATTCGACAACCAACGCTTCACATGGGGGTACCACCTTAGCCATCTTTGGCAATGACGAGGGTTGCAAGAGAACTTTTATAGAGCGAGGGAAAAAGGAATGGTGCGACGCTAGTTGCATCGACGACGATCTCTCCTCTCGTCTCTCTCTCTCCATGTCGCCCTCGATGATCCTTTCGGTCGGAGCGAGGCTCGACAGCCCTTTGGCTAGTGGCTCGGACGAGGTTTTACGGGCCCCGGCTCGACGAATCGGGCGTTGGCGGCAGTTCCCAGTGCACGATAAAAAGCGAGATGACCGAATTGTGAAAACACCACGAGCCGGGGGGAACCACAACTAAAATTCGATTGGTACGAAGACATTTTCTAAAATCCGATGTCGCGGGGGCAGCTAGATACGTCTACGGCCCGCGAGGGACACAGGAATACCAAGAGACGGCGATAAATTTCTCAAGCATACTAATTCCTTCTCGATATGCGTAAATCCCGACGACCTTTTTGCTGTCCCGAGAGTAACATCTCGAAAGGCCCCGTCACGAGCGACTCTCGGGACAATCGTTACAAATTCGAAATGGCATTTTACTCGAGCGAGCGATGAGGAGACGCATGTAACACGAGAATCATCGGCGCATCGAAAACCCGCCGATTAATATATACAGAAATCAGCCTTCCGGGACATTCTTAAACCCGAAAAAAACACCAAGAAAGAAAAGAAGATGTGCACGGAATGTGGAAGAAAAATATAAGGATCATCATGGGAAAGAAATCTAGCGCGCATCGAGGGTGGACCTCCTTTTCCTCGGCAAGATCTAACGCCAAAGGCAAGGCTCTCTTCTATGATCCAAAATCCAATCCCTCCTCCTTTTTCCTTAACATCGTCCTCGCCCACCAAAAAAAAAGAAGAAGAAGAAGCAGGGATTTAAAAGAAAAAAAAAGGGGGGGACCAAAGAGCATCTCTCGTGACACGTAAATTAACGTCGATGCGATCGCGCGAGCCCCACGGCAACTCCGCGCGCAGCTCGAATGATCGACGGTGGAGATTGAATCTTCGATCCGTACCGAGTTACCAACCCGGGTCCGGGCGGGTTGTTATGCACAGCACCAATGGAAACCTCGGCCGATATTAATCGGTGGGGGGGGAAAAGGTCAAGGCACGCGCCGAGCCTACTGCACCAATCAAACTCTAAAACCCCACAAAACCTAAACCGTCCGGCCGCGGGGTCCCCCCCCCCCCCGGCCCCGGCCCCCGGCCCACCCCCACCACCGCCGGTGACGTCAGCGCGGCGTGCGCGGGCGGCGTGTCATCACGGCAGGACAATAAATGGTCGACAGCATCTCTAGTCTTCGAGGGCCCATGCTCGCCACCATCAACAGTCGCCCCCAAAAACAGGAAGAACGACCGATGGCGAAAAAAGGCATTCAATACGATCGGAGGAGGAGCGCATTGACTCCCTCCCCCACACCCACTCAAGCTTGCAGAGCGCCTCCCCCTTAAATTCGGCCCGGGCCCCCCCCCCCCCGACCGCGACCGGCCCCCCGACCCCGACCGCGACCCCGACCCGCCACCGTGCTCCGGTCAAGGAAGCCTTCAACCACCCTCCTTTAAGTGGGAAGCAGCATGCATAGTGGATGTGGTCGATCTTCCTACCGCAAATTTCAAAAAGCTATTCAACCCGGAAAAGACCCACCAAAAGTCATACCATTATACAAGTTTTCGGAACGAGCGACATTACAGAGGAGTTAGCTTATATAAAGCACTCTTTTGGAGCTCTCGTTAAGTAATTTCAAACGGAAACAAAAATTACGGTTTTAATAAACCCCATTTTTTTGCATAAAAACTTCATTTTTGAGAGAAATTGAGACGTTCCTCTGTGTAATTTAACGAGCGAATGTCCTAATAGGATCGACCCCCACAAAAAAAAAAAAACAAAAAAAAAAGGGTCCTCATAGGAAAACTGAACACGGGGGATCGATCACCTGACACGTGTCCCTCGGAAGGTTTCCGATGGTCTCGAACCAGCGCCCAAAATTCGTCAACGAAATGCAGAAAATTGGTGCGACCACCACGACGTTCCGACAATTAAATGCAGTAATTACTCATGTAATATATATATATATATATATATATATATATATATATATATTGTAAGAAAAAAATTTAAATACGCGGGAGAGAAAGAAATGGGTAAAATCCTATTAATTTTCTATACCTCGTACATGTAACAGTAAAAAAAACAAAGCGAAAAGGAAAAAAAGTAAGGAAGAAAAGAAAGAGGTGGAAGAAATCATCACACAACAAGGGGCGTGTAGCCGGTTAACGGGAACGATTTTACTGTACATGAGAGGAAAAACGCCAAAATCCCAAGAATTTACCGTTCTTCTTCCTCCTTCGCGCTACTCGTGTGAAAAGACCGGGAGGGGGGGTTAAAAAAACCGCAGTAAAAAACTCCGGGTCAGAGATCGCCGCCGCCGCCGCCGCCGTCGTCGCCGGAGGGGGAGGAGGGGGGAGGGTCAACGTCGGCAGCCGCGGCGGCGGCGGCGGCGGCGCGTGTCCTAGCGGTTCGGGTTGGCCCTCCCGAAGTCGGCGAGCTTCCGGGACCGGTTGCCGAGGTACGACGCCGCCGTCGACAGGTGCGGGTGCGGGTGCCCCGGGGCCCTGATCTCGCCGGAGTAGCCCGCGTCCGGATGCTGGAGCCCGCACTTCGGGAGGTGGGGGTGGTGGTGGTTGTTCCATTGCCGCGCGGGGCTGGGCCTCACCAGGGGGCTCAGGCAGAAGCTCAGCCCGGAGACGTTCCGCGACTGCAGCCCCGGCCGCGGCCCCCGGAGCGCCGGCCCGGCGGGCGGGGTCCTGCGCCGCCCGCGGGAGGACTCCGACGCGTACCCGCTCCCCGGCGGCGACCGGTTCTCGCGGTCCTCGTCGTCGGACTCCTCATCCCCTCGCTCCGGCGACATTCCGCGGTTCGACACCGGGCGGGGCCGCCGGGCGTCGAAGGCGGAGACGGCCTCCTCCTCGGCGGGGAATCCTCCTACCGGCGGCCGGCCCTTCCCGCGGCGGTGGAGGAGGAACGAGAACCACGACGACGACGACGACGCCGACGACGAGGACCACCACGACGGCGTCGCCCGGCACGAATCGCGATGGCGAAAGAGGGCGGGATCCGAATTCGAGGAGAATCGAGGATCCGATTCCCAATCGAACTTCTCCGATCTGGACTTGCCGAACAGGCTGGCGAACAGGGAGAACCTCCCCCGCTTCTTCTTCTTCCGCGGCTCGCTCGGGACGAACCCTCCCGCGGCGTCGCTGTACCTGTAAGCCGGGCCCACCTGCGGGGTGCTGTAGAACCGCTGGTGGCGGCCGCCGCCTGCGTCGGACTTCCGGCGGCTGATGTAGGGGGACACGGAGCGGGGGAACGCCGGGTGCTGCGGCGGCCGCCGGGGGGGCGGCTGCTGCTGCTGCTGCTGCGGGGGGTCGTCGGGCTTCCGTCGATCGTCGTCGGCGCAGGGGCGGGCGTGGCCGAGGGCCTCGGCCTGGGCCTGGGCGGCGATGAGGGCGAAGAGGCGCTCCCGGAGGCAGGTGGCGCAGACGCCGACGGCGCTGCTCGGGTCGACGGGGTGCTTCCTACACTTCATTCCTCCGCCACCGACATGCAGCCGCGGCCTTCTAGAAGCTCCGCCGCCCCGCCATGGCTGCGCGACCACCGCGAGCTCCGCCGCCCTCCGACAAAACGAAAACGAAGGTCTCCGAAAGAGAGAGAGAGAGAGAGAGATATCTTTATGCGCTTTGGGCTGCCGTCTGCGTGTTGGGGAGGGATTGGTGGTCTCTTCTTCTTTGATTTAATTGTAGAGATAGAGAGAGAGAGAGAGAGAGAGATGAGGAAGAAGAAGTAACATTAGGCTCAACTTTGGTTTGTTTTCTTGATAAATTTATTCATTACATTTCGACATATGCTTGTATATAGCCCGTTCGCACTATTCGATCCTTAGCGAGACCCCCCGGTCGTGTTCGACCGCGACGTTCGGGACGACCCGGCTCATGCTCGTTCCCTGCGCTCGGGTCGCGAATCCAAGTCAACTTTTTTGCTCAATGAGTCGCGAAACGGCCGATACGTTTCGAATTCGTCTCGTCTTTGAAGCCCGTCAGTATCTGTTACCGTGCATATGTGGCGAGCTGCCGTCGGTGACGAGTTGGGTAATGAGCCGGCCTGAAGCCGGGATGAACTTTCGCGAGTACGGGTCGGGGTTTCGTTTTAGTAATTTTGGGTGAGTGAAATTTGAATTGATGAGCTACGTATGGGAGCATTTGGCAAATGGGTCTTACTATATTTACCATGAAATAAATTGAATGATGGCGACCTTAGGCTGAGTTGATGATTTTTCTATTCATTTGTTTCGGTTTTGTTTTTGTCGGCAAGTTGACGATGTGACTTGTGTGCGTTGACTTTCTCTTTCGGTTTTGTGGGTTTTTTTGAGGTTGATTGGATGACCCAGCAATTAGACGAGATCACATTTAAAGTGAGGGTTCTCTCAATTGGGTTTTCAACTTTTGCATTTTTTGCTCGATTGGGGGCTCTTACTTTTAGTTATTTACTGCTCAGGACATCATCAATCTACAACACTTGTGAAGATTAAATTGACTTTGAATGTGATCTCGTCCAAATTTTTTTTTATAAAAATATCTCCAAATGTTGGATACTAAATATTGGTCAACACCAAATACTAAAAGCATAAAGGGAAAGTCAAACATAAAAGAAAATTTTGATTTAAGATGTTGTGAATTTCTGTAGCATAAAAATCGTCGATCCTCGAAATTGAGCCGTAATTTTCTTACACTCTGTCGGCTCAGTTTGCTAGAATTTGTAGATAAAAGTGATTTCGAAGTCAAAATTGAGTAAGAAGTAGCTTAGAGTTAAATAATGGGGAATTATATTTTCAAATGGGCATGAGTAACCATCCTTTTTAATATGCTCGACAACTTAATTTCGATAGTAATTACTTGGAGATGTATTGTAAATGAGAATATTAACCGCTTGCTGATCCTTGGGTAAAAAAAAAAAAAATCGCTTGCTGATCCAGTATCCCTGGTTAATAAGCACCATGCGAAATGTTAGAGAGGTTTTCACTAATATCTCTTGAATTTTTATGACAAGTAAACCTTGAGACTAATAAAGTACTGCGCTAAGAAAAAATGGTTTTTTTTTTTTACATTTGATGGTGTTGAGAATCGAATTACTTCCGTGCGTGTGATTCATGGCATGGAATATGGCACATCAGCCACTTTAATTGTGCATGTATTAGGTTGTGTCGTTTTCTCTTTTGAATATGATTGGGAATGTTACTATCGCACTTATTAGCATTGTCGGATTTAGGCCGAGACGAGTAAAATTTTGCGCGTACATACCGGGTTCGTATTAGGATTTCTTCTTCAGTTTGTTGAGTAAAATTTGAATTGAAGTGCTAAATTTGGAAGCATTTAGCAAATGGGTCTTACTTTATTTACTTTGAAATAAATTCAATGATGGCGATCATAGGTTGAGTGACAATTTTTCTATTTATTTGTTTGTTTTTTTCTTTTGGCAATTTTTTTTTCTGGTCAAATCTTTTGGCCAGTAGACGATGTGACTTTTGTGCGTTGACTTTCTCTTTCAGTTTTGTGGGTTTTGTGTACGATTTGCATGACCCAGCAATTAACAAAATAAGATTTCTTACCTAAAATGAGGGTTCTTTCATTTGGGTTTTCTACTTTTGCCTTTTTTGCTTAATTAGGGCTCTTACTTTGAGTTATTTACTAGTCAGAATTTAAATCTATAGTATTTATGAAGATTAAAATGACTTGAAATGTGATCACATCTAAATTTTTTTAAAAATATTTCCAAACGTTCGAAACTAAGTATATGTAAACTCTAAATACTAAAAGCATAAATGAAATGTCAAAAATAAAAGCTGCTTTAAAATTCTATGGATTACTACAGCCTAAAGATTTATCGATCCTTGAAATCGAGCCCTAATTTTCTTAGATTTCGAAGTCAAAATCGAGTAATAAGTAGTTTAGAGTTAAAAATAGGAAATTATATTCTCAAATGGGCACGAGTACCACCCATTTTGATGTGCTTGACAATTTAATTTTAATAGCGAATATTTGGAAATATATTATATGATGAGGATAATGTTAGAGTAGTTTTCACTAATATCTTTTGAACTTTTATGACAAGTAAACCTTGGGATCAATACAGTGCCGTACTAATCTTATAGAGTAAGATGAGAACAATGGTTTTTTTTAAAAATATGATGGTGCGAAGAATCGAATTACTTTCGTACATTTGATGCATGGCATTGAATATGATTCCTTTAGCAACTTTAATCGTGCATGCATCAGGTTGTGTCCTTTTCAGTTTTGCATGGGTAGGGAATGTTATTGCCGTACTTATTAGTATTGTTGGAACTTACTTGAACCTAGAGATAACCACCAAAAAGGGGAAAAAAACAGGAAACTCGAACGAAAATTAGAAGAGCATTTACAGATGAGTGACTCTACTCTTAGGATGACCAAGTCAAATCGTGGTAGAGCGTAGCCGTACATCTCAATCATCGGTTTGTTTTTTTGGTCGAAATAGAGATATCATTTCATTAAACCCGAGCCCACCTACAAGAGTAAGGGGCATCAAAATACATGATTCTCAAAAAGGGGAAGGGGGGTGGGTTAGAAACCCAGTTTCGGGGAAAGGTCTTACACCTTAACGCCTCTATAACCCAATCTACTCATCTATTTGAATCACGGGTGTAGAGGACCAATCCTAAACTCTCAGAAAAAGCCAAGAGGCCAATACAATTAGTGATAAGTGGCTCAACATCCCAAGGACAGAGGGAAGAATCTTTCAAACAGCTTATCAAAGTTTAATAGTCAGACTCCATCGTTAGTTTTAGATGAGGCCGATCAACAAAGTGTTGGAGGGCATAGAGACAAGCAAGGGCTTTGGCTTGAAGGGCGAAAGATGCTCAGACTGGTCGTGCGAGGCCTTCCATCAATCTTCCTTCTGAATCGCGGCATACGCATGCAATTGCCCCTTCCTTGGTCCCCGAGAGGTGAGATCCATCGATATTTATCTTCAGTAAACTAGGGTCTGGTGGTCTCCATCTCGACTGTAAGTTCAGCGATACTGCTTTGTGCCTTAAGTTGCTTCTATTCTACTTCGCGTAATTGCAATGCATGTTTAGAGCTGAGTCGATTATGCTGATTGGGTCCGTTTGCTCATGATGGAAGACAAGGGAGTTATGCATTAAGCAGATTTTCTAGAGGGTGAGTGAGATGATCTCGAACGGTATGTTCTTCTAGGTCATATCATTATAGATTAGCAACCATTCCTCAAATCTAGTGACTTGTTGGTGAGAAAAGTGGATGTTGAATTCGGGATTTGACCAAACCTGCTTTGTCTTGTCACAAAGAAGGAATAGATGCTCGACTGTCTCGGGCTTTGTTCGACACAAGGGGCAAAATGGTTCAGATAATACCCTTCTCTTGAACAAGTTTACTCTTGTAGGTAATGTATCTTGGCAGACGTTCCACAGGAAAAGTATGACTTTTGGAAGTGTTTTTAGCCTCCAAATTTTGCTCCAGAGATCATCGGTTAATTGAGCAAATAATTGCCATATGAGTGTCATTACTAAGAAATTCAAATCGGCAATGTTGAAACCGGATTGTAATTAGTTGCGCATCGCGGACCGGTCAATTGAATCGAAGTTGCAATGCCCGAGCGCAGCCTCACCATGAGGTCATACGTTGGAGGCATGCTCGAGGTGTCGTGCTCAAGCGGTCGCAAGCTCATTGTGGATGGAGGTTGAGCTTGATCAAACAATCACGCCGCTATTTTGATTAGATCTATGATGCTTAGTGTGTACAACACGTGAAGAGAGAGAGAGAGAGAGCTTGGGTGGGTCACTGGCGATAGGTGAGACCACCTCGACCTCAAGCGACGCCGTGGCCGAGATCCATTGCCGTGGGCCACATTGCTAATGGCCACTATTGTCACCGTCAGTGGTGGCCTCCCTCTCTTTTCGTACCGTTTACTTTTTTCGGTTTCCTTTTCCTTATTTTTTTCATATAGTAAATGTACTTATAATTGATATATGTTCAACTAAAATGAGTTCGAAATGGGTATTACCTTAACGAGAAAATTGTCCAAATGGTTATAATTTATTGTACATTTCTCAATTTAGTTTTAAGCTTTTTAATGTTGTTGATTGATTCATAAAAATTTTCATGCTTTGCCAATTGAGTCCATCCGATCCGTTTTTATCGAAAATTGATGACGTAGACACTGATCGTCCTACGTGATATAGTCGACGTTGACCTAGACATTTTTAATAATAATTTAATTTTTTGGAATATTTTTTATTTATTTGTCTTTCCTTTTTCCTTTTTTTTGTTTTTTTTTTTACACCTCTGGTCGGCCTCGTCGTCCAACCATTGCCAGCCACAGGCGAGAGGGCGTCAAGCCCTCACCCAGATCTAGGCAAAATCATTTAATAAGTAGCTTAGAGTTAAAAATGGAAATTATTGCCACCCGTTTTAATGTGCTCGACAATTTGCTTTTTATAGTAATATTTGGAAATATATTGTATAGTGAGGATAATGTTAGAGAGGTTTTCACTAATATATTTTGAATTTTTATAACATGTAAACCTTGAGACAAATAAAGTATCGTACTAATCTTATGAAGTAAGATGAGAAAAATGAATTTTTTTTTAGATTTGATGGTGCAGAGAATCGAATTACTTTTGTATGTTTAATCCATGGCATGGAATATGGTTCCATAGCTACTTTAATCGTGCAT